GCATTGTTAATCATTGCATTAACCTGATACCCATCTAAGAGATTCGAAAGAGATTTTCCAGCCTTGTGTGAATACAATGGTATCATGTATATGGGACTTAAGCATGTTTGCGATAGTGACGCCAACACATACGTCTTACGGAAAATTGGAATCGTACAATTTAATGTGGTGTCTGTTATTCACATTATTCATTGAACAACATTCCTTTCTTGAACATTACACAATTGCCTGTGTTCTTTTCTAACGTTGTCAAATCCTTTTTTATTGTTTATGATGATAATTAAAGACTTGCGTCTGGTATTTATAGAAAGCGAAACAAAGCTCTACCAATCAGAAAAAGTCTTAAAATTCATTATGGCTCATTAGAGGGCCATCACTAGTTGCGAAATGGTGCGAATTAGAATAGTGCTAGGTCATTAGCTTCGAACGCAATTCTAAGGCAACTGAGTTGTGAGTTGCGTTTGGTACTCATGACCACTTCCATAATTTGCATCCATCAGTGGCTCAATTAAAATAGGGCCACACACAATATAAACTTATGCTGAGGCTCATCTAAATTCTCGGGGAAGGGGCCCCTACTCATCTAGTTGAGCAATTGGTAATCGCTATGAGGTGTAGGGTACCTTTATATTGGATATGTAGACCTGACATTATATTGTTGAAAGTAGATCACTTACCATTACCAATGTATCATTGTTTGACTGAAAAAAGTCCACCTGATGTCGTAAGAAAGATTTGAACGATCAATAGGATTGTGTGAACACCTTGTGTTGCGTCAACAACAAAAAAACGATACTTTGTCAAATAAATCGACGACTGCTTTATAGTTTATTGGTAGTATACGAAATACTAACTTCGTCACTTCGTCTTTGCAGTTGAAGTCTCACGAAGAAAGAGCGTTGTCCTTAGAATTAGCGTTAGCCAGAATTTATTATATGCAAGATTTTAAGAATTATCAACTTTGCCTCCCGAGTCAGCGTTTCAGACTGTGTGCAACTGTGCGCGCACATTTAATCGCATTGAAGTATAGAGGATAGGAAGAGTTAAAACTCTTTTAAATTCCTGGTGATCCTGATCTGGTCGCAGGCATAGTTTTTTCTCAAGCTAGATGAAAGTAGGCTGACCAATATATAAGATATGTATTTAAAGAATCTTCAGGGTACAAATTCACAGGGCTCAATTTATATTGAAAAATTTGATTAGCAATACATGCACCAAAATATCAGTTTCGATACTCGCATTTCATAAAATTGGTAACAATTTGAAATGTTCCAGTTGGCCATGATATTAGTACCATAACGATATAGAGTCTGTTTCTTTTTTAAAATTTACGAAAAAAATACAATTTGATTCGTAGATCTCGTAATAAATTTTGGCTCACCAAAGGAAATATTGGATCGCTAAAGACGTCTCTTTGACTCACAGTCTGCGCTTCGATACCGTGTAAATTCTCCACTCCAGAATCAAAGTTGCTCTTCACATAACGTAATAACACAGTATATAGTCGAACGAATATAGGAGATTTGCTTACTTGACAGTTATGGATAGTAAAATTTCCCATTAAGAATAATAAAGTTACGTATCCCGTCTTACCAGTTTCAAAAAAAAAATTCAAGGTGCACCATCCGAAAAATGTGTTAATCTTGGAACCTGTAATTGGCTACTGAACGTTAGAATGCATTATAAGTACCCACCTTACGCCAATGTACATCAAGATTATTCCCAATAAAGAACAACAAAGTTATGTGTCCTGTTTTACTTGTTTCAAAGACAAATTCACTATCTAAAAACATTAACGGTGATAATCGTAGAATCGGTCATTGGCTTAACGTAAGAATGCATTACAAGTATCCACCCTATGTCAATGCACATCAAGCTTATCTCAAATCGTACAGAAACTACAAAGATCCAATTATTTAAATCTATTAAAATTACCTGTACTCGTGTGAAAATTATCCAGACTATACTATCCTATCACTGTTTCAGTATGTGTCGAGGTTTATCACTAAATAATCTTATCCTTATCATACATCATCCAAACATATTGATTAAAATGTGAGAAGAAATTGGTTAAAATCATACACATAGACCAGTTACCTGTGAACCTTACACTCAATATATATATACTAATATTAAACTAACAGGTGACGTAGCCGAATCCAACTCGAGACCTGTCAACTTTATATACAATATATAAAATGAACATATCTCTCCTTTAAACCACGTTATATATATACACATACCGCTTTACAACTCATAAATAAACCTACATTATTATGTATGTTTGATAGCAAGCGACCTTTTTAACTACTAACTAGTCGTATCATTAAAAAGCTATGGAAACTGTAAAATACTTTTAACTGTTAGTAAAGGTATGCAGTAAGTATAGGCTAAGTATTGCAATAAATTGGATATTACAAAGTGTGTGCAACCGACTAACTCTTAAACTTTCGGCGTAACTGTTTTAAAACTATTGTGAGGTTCGGAATAAATTTTACAAAAAATGTTTTAAGCTTTTAAGGTTTTAAAAAGGGACTTGGTGGCTTCTGTATTGCCATACGTACACACATACAAAATGCATAGACCTCCTAACGTGGCCACAAAAATTCCATGAGCATTTTCTCCAGCTAACAAAATTTGAAACATTTATCGGAATTTTTTTTTTCAATGATATGGCCTCCTGAATGATATAACAAAAAAACCCCAGAAGATTGAAGAGTAACAACACCGAAATAAGTGCATCTAATAAATGTAATACAAAAAAGATGCTCGGAAAGTGCCTTTCACCAACTTCAAGAGAGACAACCCTCATCCCTTAAAAATATAATAAGGCCAGTAACAAAAAATATCACAGTACAATAAAAACCATCAAAATAAATGTATCACATAAATGTAGTACAAGGGAGATCATATGCTGAAATACTGTTGTACTTTTCACCAACAACCCTAAAACAAATGCTAGTGACAAAAGTGACGCAAAAGAATAACTAGACTTAAAAGGGAGGATAATATATGCCTAACAATTGATGGAAGCAACTTCATGGGAGAGTGGAATTAACCTTTAGAATAATGTCAGTAACCAAATTGACGCAGAAGAATAACAACATTGAAATGTATCCAGTTCAAGGGAGGTAATGTGTTTACAAATTGTGACGTTAAAATTTTCATCAACTTCACAGGAGACAACCATTATTTTTTTTTATAAGGTCAATAACCATTTGTATCAAATTATAATCAAAGCATTGTGGACCACCATCTACAAGTAGGGGACACTTATCGCTCTATTCCAATAAATCTTCATTGATTACTATCAAAGCCAATGGTTCATTTCAGTTTGTGATCTTTTTTCTGTAGCAATCGAAAATACTAGATATACTATCAACTTTGGGGTTATTTTTAATACAAAACAATTCGACACTGCCGCTGAAGCATTTATATTGGCCTGCTCTTTTTACGTGAGTTTATCCAAATTGTTTTTGCAAGATTAGTCTGTTTTAGTTTATTTTGATTTTTAAGATTAGAAGACGCACCCAAAGATATTCAGAGTTACTTCCCTTACATCATCACCGTAAACTGAAAGTAGAAAATCAGTAAACATTGAAGGGATTTTCTTTTCTAACCTACAAATCATGTCTTTCTTAAGAAAGATTAATCCTGCTTTTATTTACAGTCGACTTCAATGTCAAAGGTATCCAAAATACAGTGTATGTACTATATTCTCAATTTGCAGCAGAGAAATGTTACATATGGGACATGGATTGCAACATGGCCATATTTTGTAATCTTACTGAGCTCAGATTTGAATTTTTTGTCCAGTCACAAATATTCAATTGCAAACCAGTTGTCGTAGAATTGCTGCAAGTCTATAGAAATATAATCCTTGATCATTTCACACTTTTCAGACCAGGAATTTCCTGTAAAGTCACTTTACTCTTTAAATTCTTTGGATGACATTTTCAAAAATCTTCTAGGACAATCTCAGACTCTTGGTACTATTCATACAAAAGGTATTGAAAAAATGTGATTCTGTGATTACTGGGTCAAACAGGTGTATTGAAAATAGTCTCAATGAAAGCACTGGTCATCGTCCTAGAGCAACTATTTCTGTATGTTTTTACAGAAAGATATTACTTTGGGTATCAATTAAACAAGAACACTGAATGATATTCTGCTTAATTTTCTATAGTACAGGGCAGTGCAGTGGGGTGTAAAACATAAAACTGTTTCATTTCATTTCATATTTTTTCCAGAGATATAGCTGTGTTTTTTATAATCAAAACAGATCAATATATTGTTACAAGACCAAAAGAAAAAGTGATGAAGTATTCGGCTTTGAAAGATACCAGACTAGGAGTTTACACCTGTCAAACACCCTAAACTGGTAAGAGAACTGCTAAATCCCTTATCCCTGGGAAGAATGGTGAGATTTCTTTGGTAGGGTATCTCCTGGAAAGCTCACATGTAGGCCTACTTGTGCACCATATCGACAACCAGGGTCCTACACAATTCAGGGAATACCTAAAAAACATTTACTTTTTCTGATAGTTTGCCATGATTTTAAATTTCAATAAATACAAACAAATATGCATTTGGGCAAATCTTAAATGATCATAACTTATTTTCAAAGTTTCAGTTAAAACTCTATATGAGGTGAGAACTCATTCAACCAAACAATTATTTTGATTTTTATTTCAATAACATAATTCTGAGGTTCCAAGTCAAAGATGGATTCAATATGTTTTTGGGTGGTGACATGAAAGAATAATGTAATAAGTTAATCAGAAGTGATAGATGACAATTTAACGTTCGCTTAATCAATTCAGACAAGAGAGTTATTGTGAGCAGGACAATATTGATGGGAGACAATTCATTAATTCACAAATACTTGAAGACTACAATTAATTTTCTTCCACACCAACTCTCTCTTATGTATCCTGATTCATTTTCAGTTTTTTCAAGCAATTTATTAGTTTAAAATGAAGATCTTTTTATAAAGTTATATGTCTTTTTTCAGTGCTTTAAGCCCAAATCAATATGAAGAATTGGCTGATGAAACTTTAGATTCATTAACAGAATATTTTGAAGATTTGCCTGATAAAATAAGTTGTGATTCAGATTATGATGTTATATTTGGGGTAGGATAATCATCATTGAATTCACCTAGTGACAGAGTCTCCTCAATAATTCCAAAACTATACATAGTTTCACTCGAGCCAATCAGCACACTTCTACAAATATTTTGTTTTGCAAAATCTTTCATTGAATTAACTGAACTTATTCTTAAACCAACACTCATATTTCAATCCTGTCTTGATGATCTGTTATAACTTTTCAATGACTCCTTTATTTAATTATTTTAGAGTGGAGTATTAACAATAAAATTTGGGGAGAAACATGGGACATATGTGATAAATAAACAAACACCAAATCAACAAATATGGTTATCATCTCCTCTTAGGTAATTTACTCTTATTGTCGCTAATTGTTAAAATTGAAGATCAAGTTCAAGGTCAAATAATCTTGGACCTTAACGTATATCTTAAATCTGTTCAAATATGTTGCAAATAAATAATTATAATGAAAATATAGTAAATAAAATATGTAATCTGTTTACTGTGAGGAGATTTTTCCAGATTTACTTGAGGGTAAAAAAGGATGCGCATTATATTAGCAATTATATTGTATCTGGTATCTATATAATATAAAGAATTTTATTAACAAAGATATAATGATATACTAAGAAAGATTACATAGAAAATGTGATATAGTAAAAAGACAGAAACTGCTTCTATAAAACCGCTTCCCGTTAGGCTAAGGTAATTTTATTTGAGAAATAGTTCTTATATAAATGATGAAAAATGAAGTAAATAGTATCTATATCGAATCATATTGCCTGGTTATGTTTCCTACTAACAATACTCCTGTTTGTTATTTTTCAGTGGTCCTAAGAGGTATGATTATATAAATGGTAGTTGGATATATAAACATGATGGTATATCATTACACCACTTGTTATCAACAGAACTATCTGATATATTGGGAGAAAATATAGACTTATCCCATTGTACATACAGTGGTTCTTGATATTAAACTATTTACACCTTTATATCAACTCTATAATCAATTGTTAAACTATCGTTATTGTGTGATTTCATAATAAACTTGCTCTACTTCTAGTTCAAAGGGTTAATTCCAGTATAAACCTGTAGCAAAAGTAATGGTATCTCTTACATAGCCTGCGATTTTATTTTATTTTTTTGTCGCTGTTGGCTGAATGATAATAATTAATGATTCAGGGAATTTGGTGCATCAAATCTGGTCTGGCCTAGTTCTATCCTGTACTGCTTTCAGACTCTTATTTCATACATTCATTCTACTTAGTATAATATTTTTTCTGAGATAGAAAAATACTATTTTTGGCATTTTCTAAAATAGATGACAAAAGCCATTTTTTCCATCCAATATCTGTCAAACATGGTTTCAGAAAGTCGGCTTGGAAATTGCTACAAAAGCCACTTTTCCTGTCAATATTTAGCAAACATGGGTATCCGAAATGGTAAGAGTCATTTGATTTTGGTCTAATAATTAGCACCATCATCAAATGACATACTATTGAGAGAAATAATAATAAAGCATGTACTTCAAGCCATAATACATGTACTGTATGTAATCCCATTTCATACTTGAGATATTTCAGACCAGGTATCTATTGATCTTCAATGATCCAGACCTGTCATTAGAAACAGCTGAATTGATTCATTAATACCTTAAATACAATGTGGTTGATGATAAAATGTCATTTACTCTGAGCTCCAAGCTTTGAATCTGAATGCTGAGGCATTTGACTTTAATGTAATGTGGCACAGTAGGCCTAAGCTTGATTTAATATGATTAGGATATTGTGGCCACTACTGCTCAGAGACTTAATATAAAACTGCACAGCACTGACTTTATTAGATACAATCTGACTGCTGATTGGTCACAATTTAGTTGTTGTGTTCCAAAAAGCTCCTTTGAACCACAGAAAAGACCCTTAGCCTGTGTAAGTGTTCAATGAGTAAGGGAAGATACCAGAAAAGCTTCAAAAATCAATTACTTAGTTAACCAATAACCAACCCAAAACAAGCTTTTATTCTGAAAATTGATCATATTTTTAGGATAGAAGAACAGCCTCTAGAAGAGTAATAAATAAAGCCAATACCCCCAAAACCTTGCTTTCTAGACAGGTATAGTCGATTGAAATAATTCTTGAAATTTTTCGAAAAGTATGCGGGGCTGCTGCGTGTGGAAAGGATAACAGTGTTCACAGGGACCTGTCAGAATATGCAATGGCTGGAAGAGTTATTTCCCGTGATTAATTTTTCATTAGGGGAGCATTTTGAAATTCATTTCAAAATTTAACCTTAACATAGTACCAAAATGATATTAGGTCTAATAGTCTATAGACATTTACATCCACACGAAAGCCATCGGATAATTTTCGTTATTACATAGCAGATAATTATAGAAAGTTCTAAATTGCACCTATCACATATTAATCAGGCCTATACCGATGGAGAAGCATGCAGATGATGCATAAACTTATCAATTTGTCCCAATTTATCTTAAAATATTATGACACAATATTTAAATGTTTAATTAACAGTAATTAAAGTAAAGGAGAAGGGAGCGAACTCTTCAATGAACCTAGTAATTTTGTAATGGTCTATTTTTGTCGAACCCCTGTGAGCAGTTAGCGGATCTTTTTTCACGAGAGAATAACGCAATTTATATGCATAGTGTAAATTATAATTATTGAGTTTATTAATCAGCTTCTATTTTTGCTGATTGTCTTCAATTATTTTGCAAATCGGATTATTTACTATGCCTAATTTTAGAGCGCCATAATTAGACAATATCTTCACTTGACTACAGGATTTACTACGTAATAATATTGGCTACCATATTGATATCTGCACCTCATTGGTTGTTTCAAACCGAGGCTAGCTCAGACCAACATGGCTGCGCTGGTGGAAGGACACGATTATGGTCTCATCTCAAACGAAACTTCCATCGACCAAAAAACTGTGATTCATGTCAAATTAACCGATTCAGCATTAAGAGCTATAGAAGAATTTCTCAAAATCAAAGTAAGATTCAGGTTCTATATTGAATATCTTCATTTATAGATCGTTATGTTTCGCGAATCGTACTGGAAAAATTGCTTGAGTTCGCAATTTTTTTTTCATCACAGTCTGTTACAAATTTTTAATTATTTCATTGAATATTTGTGATAGGATCTTTTCATGAAATGTATTAATATGATCTATTGATTATACCAAAATCTGAAGTTAAAGATTTTGGTTAGTTCACAGTCTGAAACTTGTTTTTGACGTCAGTTTTAAACCCAATCTGTCAGTCAAAAAGACAGGTTTGATACATTGTGAGAAGGGAAAGTACTAAATGATTTGTTTATCTTTCTAAATATATTTGCTTAACTTCACTTTCTATTTCAATCGTTAAAATAAGAAATTTCACTTGTGAAAAGTTGTAAATTAATGGAAATTGGGCAAACATAGTCAAGAAGTGCAACATCAATATTGTAAACTTGTCTATTTTTTCCATATGGTGAATCGGGTTACTACAGAGTTTGAGTAGGCTGGTATTTGTCTGGTCTTAAATCTTGTAAAGAAAGATCCCAAGTTATTTTTGCTGAATATGATCAACCGTGTGATCAAGCTGGACTTTGTGTACAAAGGCCTTATACGAAGTTATATTATTGAATGATAAAAACTAGAGATAATAAAGTTTCAGTTTATCACATACAAAGAGTGGATGATTCATTAATTTTGATGATCAAATATAATGGATAACCAGTTATATGGCTAAATTCTTAATATACCGGTATAATATTCAGCCATATTTAACAATTTTTTTTGAAACAAATATTAATAGGCTTTCCCTTTTAATACCGAATCTTAATCGTTACAATATTAGGCCTATACGCTTATAAGCTTATTTTAGATTGTAACAGCATTTTCTATGGGAAATTTGGCTGAACATTCTCCGCTTCACACTATTACAATAAATTACTCCCATGAAATTTTGAGTAACGGACAATTTTAGTGATAGGAGTGGTACCATGTATTATACGGTATGCTGTTTCTTATTTTTGCATGTTTGAATTGATTTGAAATCTTTCTCTCTAAAGTATAATCTTAAGATTTGGCAACATGGAAAAAATTCTTACGAGGAAATCAAATTTATTGTGTAAGCCTAGTTCACGATAGAGACAAGGTTCAAAATGGCGTTCAAATCTTATAGAAACAGCTTTCAGCTTATTCTAATCCAATCCTCGATATTGACTTGTCTGGATTGAAATGTATCCTATCTCAGTGAATCAGGTGAGAAAGGAAGTCATGTTATTTGTATGTTTTTCTTAGACAAATTGTCTTAGTGGTTACTTCAAATAATGGTAGAGTTGGACAGTATCTGATTGATGACCAGCTGTTGACTATTATAGGTGACATGAGTTTGACCTATGTATGACTGAATCATGTTATCTTTCAGTCACTTGCAGTATTGGTGTGCTCAATTCATGATAACCACTGAGTGAATTATGGTCGTAAAAACCAGTCACTGCTGTCAAGCTCATTTTCACAGATTAATTAATTACTTTTTAGGAGGGATTAATAATCCCATTTTCTCCTAATGGATTATTGAGGTCATTATGGATTAATGATTAATTGTTATCATTCCATTGATGTCATTTCTTGTTGTTTGATAATAAAACCTAAGTAAGCTTATGTGAATTTAAATATTTGTTTAAAAAAAATTGACCTGATTTGTCATATCAGTGTTAAGTCAAAGACCTATTACTGTGAACTTAAAAATCTCTTGGTGTTAGTCGGTAATAGTTGGTAAAATTGGTATTAGGAATGGAAAGAAAGCTTGATAATTCTTTAAGTATCATTACATTAGTAATCTGTAGGGACATATTACCCTTATATAGGTCGATTTCGATATCTGTCAATTGTAATAAGTAGGTATAATTTTTATAGACAATCAGATCAAATTGATACAAAACCTGTCTGAATTATAAAAAAAAATTATATCAGTCTATTGTATTTTTATTTATGTTTTGTGGAGTAAATGGTTGGTTACTTATCAATATTTCCTTGTTAAATCAAATAATGTAACTCTACCCTAAATGACAATATCACTTTTGTGTTTTTTGAATTATAAAAGTAGGTAAAAAGTGAAAAATGGTTAAATTAATCTATCTTGACAATATAGGATGGTAACATTCAGTGACAGTGTGACAGTAAACTTATAACTTATTGGATTATTTATCAAACACATCAGCCATCTTTTCTCTAGTTTTTGCATCAAATAATTTATGGCTGTATTCTCCTTTTAGCATACAAAATGAAAGAATAGAGTGCATAATCTTAATGTAAGTAAATAGCTAGCTGGGAATGTGATTTTATCATGATACAGTATATACTATATAGGTCACCTAAATCAAAATATTATTGAGTAACTATTTGATGATATATTATGATGAAAGATGTTATTATATTGACTTGGTTGATAGTTTGTGGTTTTGAGAATAATACATAGACCTAGGGAATGAATGGGTTGGTTGACAGTGGATAGAATGTGCATTCACAGGTATTATTTGTCAGTTAAAAGGTGAAGAGACCCATAAATACCCACAAGTATTATGACGACTTTAACCTCATTAATAATCATGTTCGATATTTTAATACGAGGGAAAGATTAAATGCAATATGAAAATGTCCAAGGGGCAAAAAAAATTAAGTTTTATAGGTGAAGAGTTCATTTGGTTTAGCCCCCATGGTTAATTTCCTGCCAAAGTTCACCTTTTGCAGATGTTGTATAATACCATCTTGATATTGTTTATTTCAATCACCTTCTTTGCATGGATGCAGTTAGGCTGGGTCTTTAACCAAATTGAGATGGATTATCGACGGCAGGCTAAAGATCAATAAATGATTAACAATCAAATTATTTTAAGTGAGAAATCTAGATGTTTGATAATCAAATTTTTTAATTCCTGGCAACGATAATCGATTATTACCCAGCCTTAGATATAGTCCCAGGAGGCAACAACTAAGTTGCTAGAAAAATAAGCGGTTTGGATATATAGAATTAGTTGTCAAATAAAATTGATTATTGTACATGATACCTAATGCAATTATGCTAGACGGGTTCATTCAGTAGAAAACCCCATTAATTGGTGATTAAGGGAAAAAACATAAAAATCCTATCAAGCTTTCATTCCAACATGTTCCATGAACAACAGCTGTAGATTTTGCCTAATGATCCTTAAAAAGTCAGTATTCTATCATGTCCTCTTAAATATTCTTCAAAACTACTGACCTTATATCTTGACAGTAATGTTAAATAATATGTTAAGTAAGAGCTATTATAGTTTGTTTGTGTTGTTATACATTGATTGTCTTGTGTAGATTAGCCCATTGTTTAATATTGTATCAGTAAGATTTGCCATGTACAATAAACTTTCTATTGTCATATGCTATCATTTGATCATTTAATTCTATAGATGGTCATAAACTCTATTGTTGAGTTTCTTAATTGTAATAGATTTCTTTTATGTAGATGGCATTAGATATATTTAAGAGAAATCCAGAGAAAAGAATTATAGAAATCACAATAAGATTAAACTGTGTGAAGCTTATTTTGTTAAAAAGTCAAGAAAGACATTTGTAATTGAAAATGAAAAATGATAGAAGAGTGGCATTGAACTAGGTTATACTTAGTTGTTTTTTGTACATGAAAATTGTTTCTCAGAACTTGTTATTTGGACCTATATTAGGTCTTATAAGAGATTCTCTCATATAGAAACACTGGCCTGTATCATAAGAATCCAGGCTATGGAAAGGCATAATAACAGATCAATTTGATAAGAAATTACTTTCTTCTGGTGAGATTTTAATAACCAATGATGCAAATTTTACTTGTAATTCTCAATATCAGCTTGTAGGCCTTTATCATTGAATCAAGTTTCCGGGAAGTTTGGGTCTAAAATAGACTGTCAGTAATTAAAATATTCTATAATTAGTTATTTGGGGAGACAACAGTTATCTATAGAACATGATTATCTCTACCTATTTCCTGTGAGCTCGAGTTAAACTGATAATGATTCTCTCATTCTTTCTGTCTCCTTATCAGCCATGTAGTGGGAACAGCAGCTAATTTTAACTCTAGCGTCTGACTATGACAGTTGGTATTGATTGCGACAGTAAAATTATCAATTGATATTCTATGTCCTGTGATAAAAACCTATCCCTGTTCATTAAAGATTTATGTAGATACAATTGGAATATGATGTAAGCTCACGTATACTCCAGTCTTTAGAGTTTAAGGTTTATTGTACCATGACTTGTGCTTTCAAAAGTTTGTTCCTGGGTCATCTTCAGCTGTCTGCCTCCAAACCCTTCAGGTAGTGGACTGATTGTATTACGGTCATTGAAGTCTGTTTACCTCGCTTGACGTCCCTGCATGATTATTAATTTAGCCATACAGTTGAAAACCTTACATATGGAGATAGATATATGGCAGGTATATATATCAGTGTTAATCTTTTCCAAATTTAAAGTAGGGTAAATTATATTACAAACAAAGCAAATATATTTATATCAGGTACTAATATGACACCAACACATCTTCGACATCCTATGTCGATACTCCGAGTAGACTGGGACTAGTTGATAAGTATAAATAAGCTAGACAATTTAGATTTATGATGTCTCGTCAGTTCTGAAGATGCAGGTCCCTGGTTTAGCTTCCCTTTTCACCGGTAAATCAGTTAAGAAAAGATTGGGCAATGATTAATCCTGGCTGTTATTTTTATTTCAGGTAGGAACCAATAGAAGACCAACCATTCAATTCAATGGCAAAAAAGGAGTAAGTAAATTTTATCTTTTATCAAAATGATAAATAATTATATTTAAGCTTCTGTCTCTTGGTGCAAAACAGTCCTAAAAACAGTGTTAGATATTAAAACCCTAGGACATCCTAGCTCTAAGATCGTTTCGAGAATACAGGGCCTGAATTCTCAACTACAAGATTCAATATAAGCAGTGTGTTGATTCAGGATTATGTTACTGTTATGAAGAAGTGGTAAAACTTCCGTGTGGATTGAACTTTTCTCAATACAAATATCGCTTTTCTTTAATTCAGAAAAATTTGTATTTGTAATTATTGCATTTTTTATTTTAGTCCAATATAATTTGATTATTATGCTTACCATTTACGATTTTCTTCTTTGAAATCTCGAACCACAATATTTTTGAACAAGTTTTGTAGCTGTTGAATTTAGTACCTTTGTAATGAAAATTTGCTTTTACATTATTTCAGGTGCTACAATTTCCATGCAGATCAACATCAGAAGATCCAAAACCAGTCAACTCATTCCATTTCTTTATATCTGAAACTCCCAAAGATCCAAATGGAAGCTTTGACTGCATTGAACAATCCAATTTGAAGTGAGTATATTTTTGTAAGCCAATGACTTGTAAGAGTTCCCAAAAAATGCCCTTGTTGATGAATGCCTTATAATGAAAATAGCTAAGTAGAGTTTAAAAACAGTCCAACTGGATTTTCGCAATATTCTTAATCTTGTTCCTACTCAAACTATTTTATGAAAGATCTGCCTAAAATAATATTTTACCACAAAAAAAGATAACAGTAAGCTACCTATAATATTTGTTATCATTGTGATTTGGCCTTTTGATAACATAGAGGATAACTGGTGATTGAACTGATTATGGTTTATCATTATAAATAATAGCATGTGTGGTTTATTTTGAAATCAAACCTTAAAAGCTGGATTAATCATGACCTATATGTGTTTGAAATCTAAAGGATATAATATATAAGCTTTTCAAAAAGTAGGTAAAAGGACCACTTGTGTTCTGTGATACATTTTACTAATGGCCACTTTATATATAGATTTGTTTCTTAGTTCTATTATGAAAAGGTATATTTCTGACCCTATATTGATAAATCGTCAGAAATCATCAATAAGCTTAATATTGTGAATTTTATAACATGGCCTCCCTGCTTTGAGTGATGTAGATCTGAGTGAGGGACAGCTATTTGGCACAGTGTACTACAGGCTGTGCATCCTAATCCGTCACCAGTATGAATTGGAAAAGAGTAAGCTACTGTTTCTATCCTTGAAATATTAATTTTCATTATTTGTGTTTCGATTTGAACATTTTTCTTGATGCTATTTCAGAAATAAAGGTAAATTGGAGAAACTAGCAGGTAGTATGCAGTATAAAATGGGTATTCGAGCCACTGATGATGTTTATAAAGCAACTCGTGAACGAATGACCATTGCTGAAGAAGAAAATAAAAAAATATGGTAAGTTAACATGACTTTTGCTACAAAAATTACACAAGAACAGGAATAAAGATCTCAAAATAATCATCATAGATCTAAAAGTAATCAACAAGCTCTTGTGGGAAGATCCCGGAGACGATCTTATTCCTGTCATAGAATGTATGACTAATGTCTTATTTTGTAAGTTGGTACATCAGTAAATTGACTGTTATTGCAGCAACATCGTGGTTTTATTTTTTTAGTGCCAAAGAAATCAAACCAAGTGGTCGTCACATCAGTAAAAAAGTGAAAAAAGTGTTGCCAAATACCAGTGTCAGTACCCAAAAAGTGCAAGCTGCAAAACCATCATGTGCTGTTAGACCAGTACAGAAACCTAGTAGCAATCATAGTGTCTCGAATTCATCCAATCATAGACTCTCTGGTTCAAATGTAACCAATGGGAGTTCATCTCATTCCCCAAATAGACCTTCTAGTTTAACTCACTCACCGCCCAGTGCGAATACATCTTCAAATGTGTCATCTGGAGCAAAACCAAGTCAAACATCCAATGCTGCTAACTCCAAAGTGAATTCAGCTGTAATGGCGTTACCTTACAGGTACATAATTCTCTTCCAATTCTTTTCTTTCCGCTGTTATCTAGGTTCTCAATCAGCTGGTTCTTCAAATATTAACAAAGTTGTTATAAGTATATTTTGAGGATCAAAGTGCTATAATAAGCTCATGTTTAAAATAAGAATATTGACATGTGAATATATTTATCGAAGAAGGTCTTTCTCTTGCTGATGATTTGAACACAATTATTACAGTCATTTACTCTGGTACCTGTCTGTTTTGATGTATTCTCAGAACATTTTCATACATTATATTAAGTACCAAACAAGCTTTTTAAATATCTAACCTTCTTTCAGAGTATTAAATTGGGATTTCTGTTTTCAGAGATAGGATAATCCATTTATTAGCTGTTCGACCTTACAAAAAACCTGAATTATATCTTCGATTACAGAAAGGTAAGAATATAGTTAATTTTATAATCCTTACAAGTCAAAACAGATTTTTTTTAAGAATTATTCTTTATTGATATCCTTTACGATTTGTTTTTTGACAATGTATTCAAAATGAAAAGCAGGAAATTGGTAAACTTCCCTCCCGGCTTGTATATGACAAACTGTCTGTTTAGAATGTACAGAAAACATGACGAACTCTATCCATGTATTATTTATCAGCTTATATATGTTGCATAATTTTTGTGTTATTTATGAAGATTACTGTACAATATATATTAACTTTTTTTCTTCTTGCCCCGAGCTAAAGTGAACTATGATGTTAATTTACATCAAATTCCATTTTCTTTTCTAAAAAATTATTTCAGGTTATCACTTTATCTATAAATGTTTCATGATTGGTTTCTTATATTCCCCTGATGCTTAAAACACAGAATAAATCATATCATTATTTCAAACATAGCTTGTAAATAAAAGAGTGATTATATCATGTGCTTCATGAATATTAATCAATTTAAATTGCCCATGGGTGTACTTGTTTTGATAGCTCTACTTACATTTTCTATTTGTAGATGGAATTAAGGATAAAGATAAAAATTCATTGGGCCATGTTTTACAACAAGTGGGAGTTATGAATAAAGACCAAAGTTATAGTTTAGCTAAACATGTGTATATGGATGTACGACAAGATTGGCCCCATTATACTCAGTTAGATAAACAATTGTTGAAAAGGTACATTATGGTTAAAATCTTGCAACTTGCTTTCGTGACATTTATTAAGATTGTAAATGACAATGACATCTCAAATCTTAGTTAAGCTTAATATAACCTTTCATTGGAGACGATTGCATCACCTATTTAGAGCAGAGCTTCATAGGTTTCCTATAGATACACTTAGTTTAAATGATTTATTATCAAATCTTACTGTATGTGATTGATTTACAGTTTACATTTCTGAGACAATAGCACGTCAATCTGCACCAAGTTATTTGTCCTCTCGTGTCTTAGGATAATTCTTGATGTTTATTTGCTTTGGTTATGTGAATCATAATTGGACAAATGAAAGCTACAAATCTGTCCATGGCTCAGTGAGTTAGACGCTTGATCTCTAATCCAAGGGTCCAGCTTTCAATCCTGACATAGGTCAAGATAATATCTTTAGATTGTTCAATGGCTGACATGGAAAAAGCATCTTGTTGTTCAGATGGTAAAATAAGCCAAGGCTGCCTGTGCTACAGGCTGTAAAGATCTCTTGACAGTTGAAAATCAAAAAAGAGTTGGCAAAATTCCATGTAAAAAACTCCATTCAAATCATTTCATTTCATTCAAATCTAACCATTTATTGCTCAAGTATCTGTATTATATATCAGTAAATGCCTATTTGTACCTAATATGTAATATAAAGATGAAATTTGATGAATATGGTTACAATCAATTCAATCTTTGACAGATGTATGAATTACTGCATCACTTTCTATACCAGCTTTATACAATCAATCCCTAGCTTACTTTCTATTTATAGATGATAATTTATTCATAATTATTCTGAAATGAATTTTGTATTTCAGAAATTTACAGACAATTCAACAAGGTGAAAATCGAAGTGCCTCCAATTCTCCAGCCCCATCTCCTGCTAGTGTAACCAGTAATCCAGAAAGTCCTACATCATCGCAGGTAAATTTTATACCCATTTGATACCAGTTAATGTCTGCTCTGACTATAATTGTCATCGTTACTATATAGTTAGTTTTTATTTCCTTATCAACATGAATAACTATTGACACTTCCTTGAGAGATATGAATATAAGGCAACAAAGTACATTTGACTCAGAAAGGATATTAACTGTACTTGGCTAACATTCAATGTAATTAAAAAGCAATCTTGCTTTAAAGGAATTTTAAAGAGTTTCCTAAAAAGATTTAGGTGTATAGCATCGATTTGTGTCGTTCTATTTTTAAATCAAAAGTCTGTGTTTCCTGCAGTTCCATTTAAACTATGCCTTTACTAACGTCTCTAACGCAAAGGTGTTTATATATCAATAGGATCTTTTGCGATAGTGACGTAATAAAACACTTACTTTTGGTGTAATTGCAAGATGTCTGACTGTAAATTTGAATGATACAATTTGCTTGTATCAGTGTCCCCAATACACATACAAATTTATGGGAACCTCTTTACATTCCCTTTAATATTTTCTATGTGGTTGGTAGTTTATTCAGATTGTCATGGTTGAATAAATGCCAAATTCAATATCACAATATTAGCATACTAACTCTACCGTGGTTAGCATATCACTAGTGATATATTAATCAAGGTTGAATCACTGTTTAAAATATTGTATTAGAATATGTAGGTATATTATTACATAATCTGCTACCTTACTAGACTACTACCTAATTTGGAGGGGTAATTAGCCAGTAATATTACATTAGGTTATATAATGTTACATTAGTGTCAGTTATTACAACCTATTACCTTTTATTTATTAGTATTACTTTCCTTTCATTTTTCATCTCACAATGGTCCAAAATTGGTTGATTTTCATATTTTTAACCTCAATATTTTATATATTAACACTATGGCATCTTGCTATGCTTAAATACACCTTTTTCGGTTATCAGTAATATAAGTTAAATGTAAAATTGATAAACACCTTTTTATTACAGGCTGGAATTGATAAAATAGATTATAGTGTTACTTTCTCTTTGTGATATTTTAATGAGTTTTCTGAAAATAGCTTAAAGGGCTAAAAATGAATTCATTACAATAAGTGGCTACCTTGTCATGCTCTGATACCCTTCTATCATAACAAACTGTATGATTATATATCACTGACAAACACAGCTTGTCGGCACTATAAAATATTGACTTCGAAATATGCAAATAAATAGGTAAATATGTATGTTGATACATAAAAACCATATTTAGAAAGAAAAATTGTCATATTCAGATTTTAAGTACATATTGCCTATAGCTCGGTACAAAAATAATCCTCTTAATCAAAATGAAGTCATATTATAATAAAAGTAATCCAACTACTCAAAATAATCTTTAGATGACATTTATATATTTAGTAGATAGAACATGAATTTTGAAAATTGGAGTCAACTAAAACCTGTGTTATTGTTAAATTTATCTGATTGAGACTTTAGTAAAATATGATTTCAAATATAAATCATTTTCAGAGATATTTTAAAAATTTTGATATAATCTTGGTGAATCTTGTTACTTATACAAGACTAGTATGGTAACTAATCTGTAAGTAAATCATTCAAGGTTGAGTATCATTACATAGTCACATACTTTTCATGTCTCTAATAGTTTGTCATATTTTACTATTTCTGAACTAAGTTTTTAAATATTGATGATAAAATGTCCAAGCTGTTGTAATTGATATATCTGAACAGGGAAACAGCATGACGTTATGTATAACATAAACATTTTACATAGATCAAGGTGTTCACTATGCCATGCTGTACAGTTCCTAGATTGTTGATACACAATGCTGAAATTTATTTTTAAATTCTTCAGCATGTGGTATTTTTCTTGTGAATTTAGATAAAGCCTTTTCAAAAAAATGTAAATAGTAATAGAGAATATATCTATATTGCTATACAATTGATGTATTGAGCACTATTTTAACAGTAAAAATATTTTGTCACTGTAAATATAAATTTACAATATGTTCAGATACCTAAGCTAATATGCTTGTCTGCCCACTATAATGAATGGCCAAATTATTCTCTTTATACAAGGCATGATATATCAGCTAATAATAAGTTAAACAGTGAAATATGGAATACCATTTCATTGTCACCTATTCTATTTTCAGAAACGTCAAAATGAAGATAATGTGGAGGGGCAGCAACCCAACAAAAAGATCCGTATTTCACATCATAAGAAGAAGAAAGGAGATCGTGAGGAGTTGAAGCCTATTAATGGCATCAATAATGTTGTTAGTGTACCTAAACCAGATAAAGTTTCCCCTGATTCTACTTCTGACACTAAACTAGATGGTAATATATTTATATTCACTGGATAGGATGTGTAAAATATTTGCAAGATTCACTACAAATGTCCAACTGAAAATTGAAATGATGCAACAGATGCTATAATTTCCCCCCTATACGCTTTATAAGTTTACTAAACCTCTTAACAAACCGTTTAAAGTAGCTTTAGCCCCTTGTCATACTGTGCATGATTGATATTACCCACCATAACACCATACCCTTTCTTGCCATTGTTTCTGTAATTGTTCACCATTTATTTCATGCTCATTCCCTCCCTTTATTTATCCCATGTGCGGAAATGAATATTTGAATTGTTTTGTAGATAATGCCAATCAAGTAGCTGCTGATTCCCTTCCTAAATATCTTGGGTAAGAAATCTTTGTTGTTCAGAAGATAGAAATCTAGTAGGATGAGCATGCTGTGTCTTTATGATTAGTGAAAATGAGCCTTTGAACAAGAGAAGACTAAACCCATAGCACAAATACTTAACCAAGAATTTGACAAACACTACACCAAGAAATTATTGTACTCAATGGTAGTTATGGATTAACACCAGAGTATTAAAGTGAAAGTATTAATTGTACAAAGGGACTTAATAGATATTTATATATTTTCTTTTTCAGTTCATATACTAATATTACCAACACTGACCAAAGATTGCAATATAAAAAAGATTTCAATACCCAATATGAAGAGTATAAACAACTATATTCCAAAATAGAGTCTGTGGTTGCTAAATTTGAGGAGATGAAATCACAAATGAAGTTAAGACAGCAGGGGACCAAGGATTTTGAGGTTAGTAAGGTTAAAAGTTGTACCATAACTGGTAACTTTGTCATAGGACTCCTGTAAAGTAGAAAATAGCTTGCCATGTATTGAAGGACAACATACATTTACATATTTTGTTTGAGACTTGATGAAATAGTTGCCTGAAGATCTCACAGTGTGAAACTTGTCAACAAATATTGGTTATATATATTTTTTGCTATTTGTAGGAACTAAAGAATAGAATAGTAAAGGAGTATGAAGCTCAGAAAACAGATCCTAAATATGTTGAACAAAAGAAACGCTATGACTACCTGCATAAGAAATTAGGCCATATTAAACGCCTTATTATTGAATATGACAATGCCCAGTCGGTTTGTAGCTAGCAGTGAAAGGATGATATCTGGACGGATGAATGAATGGAAGAACGGATATAAAGAGATTTTTGAGTGCCTGATACTTCTAAATGGATCTGGATAAGTGGATTATGAGATCTTAAATTTGGTCAATACAGTATTCCCACATCTTGTTTTGAGATGTTAAAAGAAAGTCCTACTTTAATTTTGGCAGTGTGTTGTTATTAATGCTTTGTTATTGAAGACAGATATCGCTGTTAGAAGTGTGGAACCCTCAGTGGTAGACGTCAATTCCTGTTTTAGAAGAGTGTCATCTTCTCAAAGTAGCGTTAGTGATTTGATTGGCTAGTAGTGATGCAATCAATTTAAATTTGAGCCAATCAAAAAGAATCAATTGATATGAGAGAAGTGTACAGTCGATCTTTCTTTTTACGTAATTTATTTATTTGGCCGATGCTAATTGTAAATATATTTACTAATATGCATTAATTATTAATTAATAAGCTAAAAGTAATATTAATTTTCATTGGTGTCACCGTACGCAGTAATTTTGTTGTAATATTTGATTCACTCTAAGGGTCATCAATGAATGATAAAACCTTTATCATTGCATCTTTGACTTGAGAAATTGCAAGTAGTAATGTACCATTGATATACCAGCTTGTAAAACCTACAAGAACATCAACATAGATTAGTTGTCTTATTTATTTATTGATGACCCTAAAGAAAAGATTCAGAATATAAGTTCTAGTCATAATCTTTGAAAACGGTAAAGTTTGAGTTAATTTGAAAATTTCGAGACCATAATGTGTTTCGAAGCCAGGGTAATTGCCTGTTGTCATCACTAAATTAAGGGGAGTTGTATTAAGGGGAGGTAAATAGGGCCTGAGTTTTGATATGTGAAGTATGGAGTACATTCTTCTCCAATCTATAGAATGGCCTGTATGAGCTCAGTAATCAGTTATTCCCTATTTATTACCTGAAATATTTAAATATTGATATACTGGCCATGTAGTATTTGATAATGTTATAATTTGCTAGAAAAATAAATGCCCCTACTCTGTATTAGAGTTAAGAGAACAGTTGAAGTGATCATTACGATGATTACTCACCATTAATTTGATAATGAAGTTTTAATGGTATAAATTGAAAAAGAAATTCCTAAAAAGTTGAAATCCTGTGAGGCAGGAAGAAGAGTTGAAAAGAAGAAAAAAAACCAAAATAACAAAAAAATAGTAACGGTTCTGGGCAGAAAAATATAAAAAAAAGGAACAAATTTTTTGATGTTTTATTTATGTATTTATAATCTATTTATGATAGGTGACTGTTTTCAATTCTTACATAAACTCTTTCTCTTTCAACTATTTATACAAATTTTAAGGTTACTTCAAAGTTTATCTTACGTAATAAAAAATAATGATTTTCTTAGTCTCTTAACTTTATTTAATAAAATAGATGAAGACATGTCTAATGTGAAATTGAATAGTTAGTTTGTATTAGTCAAAATATATATATATGTATATTTAGGACCATCAAAACAATTTGGAGATAGCATAAATGGTAATAGTGAATTTAACATGTTTAGTTTCACACGTTAATCAGTGAAATTAAGAGAACTGGTTGTTTTGAAAAGCTCCCAAATGCTCATAAATATGTTGGACTGAATGCAATAATACAAGATTCTTTTATAATGTTTTATGAATATTTGTGCTTGAAATTTACCTGAAAATTTGTAATGTACTAGATATATATTGAAAAGAAAATACCTTGGCACAGGAACTAAGAATAATGTGATGCTTTGGATAGTGATAGTGAACTGATAGTATAAATATATGTAACAATATAACCACAGTCAAAGCTATTAAAGGGATTGTAAAGAGGTTTTCTAAGCTGTTATGTGTATTGGGGACACTGATTGAATCAATTGGCACCATTCCCTTTTTCATTCAAATGCTCAGTTTTAGTGGAATTGCAGGTACTACAAATGTCCTTCTGGAATTTGAAATGGTGAAAATGATGCTATTAGTGTTCCTGATACACATATAAAGTTTTTAAAAACCTGTTAACAATCCATTTAATAGCCATAAAACCTCAATCTCAAATGGTGAAAAATATGTGTGCTAATTAGTCTATGAATTCGTTTGGGTTGTCATATACTGACAGACCATGATTCACTGCATATTCCTAGATTAGAATAATAACACTGACATAATGACTAATATATACCTCCTCCCATGTATTATAGGGCTCAAATACATTAATATCAAAATTGACTTTACTGTGGTCAGGTACGAAGTTAACCTAACCTGGGGTCTCAAAAACTGAACATAAAATCTTCCTGTAATCTGATTGGTCAAGCACTAAAATTAAGTTTTATTACCCAATCAGATCACTGTATTTCTTAAAATGTGGATTTTATCCATGTAATCAACATCGAATAATCTACAAAATGTGGGAAACATTATTTAAAATTTATTTTTTGAATTTCATATTAGAATAGTGTAATGTCCACCGTTCTACTGAAGGTATTCAAGAAGAGGGGTGTTAAAAACTAGNGAATCCCTTAATATGGCATTGACTCTTTAACCAAAATAGTTATAAAAACTGTCGTAAACATATATAATTTGCTTATTTATTTGATATATCTAGCCCTTTTGATCTTGCTAACACTAAATTTCTACTACTACTAAGTCTGACCACAGTAAAGTCCATGCTTAAATCTGATTAATATACTCAAAATCATTAAAATTCAAACTTCGTTGTACTTTCATTGAAACTATCAAAATATGTTACTTAAATAGTTTGTGTTCTTTGAAACCAACCAGGACAAGAACTGTGATAGAATGATGTGCATTTCCATGATAACAGTAATGAATATCATGGTAAGAATATATTATATTGTGAATATTGGGATACTTCTATGAAGATAAAGCTCCGACCACATCCATGAGAAAATTTCATCATATTTGTGCATTATATTTTGTGATAATACAAAAATACGATAAAAGGATAAATTTTATGTTTATAGTTGAAAACTTTATGTGCTGAACATTACTCAATACATAAAAACTGCTAAACAATATTTGCCTCCAGCTTTATAATTTTTTTTTTTTCATTTATTTTGTGAATTAGCAATTTAAAAAGACAAAAGTCACTTGTCTTTATTTGATCTCCCATAGATATGTTGTATGATTTCTGTATTTAAGGGTTTGTTTTGGCATTGTAATCAACATTGAAAGGTTGCAAGCTTTTTTCTGATACATATATTTGTTTCTTATTCTTATGAAACAAAATTAAAACTGTTTGACAGCTTAAATCTGTGGTAAAAATTTTCATGTATGGAAAGAAGTGATCTAAATATTGATGACTATCTTGCCAAACCCTCATATTGTGCTTTTATTCTCATATTGCCATAATATAGTTTATGTTGTAACTTGGATTCTGATGCATAAATTTGCCACCATTTCATTACAATTTTATAGTGACAGGATTGTCTAGCAATAGTTTTAGTTTAATACCAAATTACTTTCAGAATCAACCATTAAAACTCTACATCTTGCTACTCAAAACTGAAGATTGTTTCAAAGTTTTTATTGACATCAATCCAACATCATAGACTGATCTTGCTTATGGTCTATAGGGAACAGCCCTATAGCTTTTCTGACTTAATTAATGTATCTGCCAAGTAGGCTTATTATGTGTACATGATGTATGTAATTTGAAACCCAATTTGGGCTCGAGATAAGTTGAATTTGAAAAAAGTTGATTCTGAAAATTCAATATGGTATGAACTAGTACTTTTGCGATATGCTGAACACTGGAAATAATCTCAGAATGTGGTGAAAGTTGAAAGCTATCTGAGTCAGATAATCAGAGAACTGACATCAAACTGATATTCTGATAACAAATAGTAAGGGTATTCTATAATTCAAGCAGAAGAGTTTTATTTTTTAAAGTTTTCCATTAGCTAAAAGTCAACAAAGCGTTGACACCATCTTTCATACTTCATGTTTTAACTGTCTAAAATCAGTCTTACTGATCACCAACTGATAAAGAGGATATTGTGGTAAAGTTAGAAAATATTAGTGCCTCTGGTTGTATTTTAAAGCACAAGCGTACAATTTATACAGTTATTCGCTGTATTTTCTTCATCTCAAAAAGTAAGGAATTCTCAAGAATTTAAACCATGATCTTAATAAAAAATGTTTTGATGTTTCACCTTAATGTTAAAGAAATATCTATAGGTAAAGAGTTGATGATTATCAATTGAATATGTTGGTGGCTAGTACAGGCAGGTGGTGACATTGAAAGACGTAAAATCTGTGATATAAAGTGCCATGTAGAGTTTTGATAAGATGGTGTTTTTTCCGATATTAGCTGAAGCTTTGATTGATGTTTGCTTAACTGTGCTTTGTTTTGCAATTTCCTTCTGTATATTATGAAATACTTGCTTTGAATATATGATACCCCTGCAAATTACAGAGTTCAGTTGATCTTGAGTCAAAGAATTAAAAGGTAATGTCCAAAGATGAAAAAAATCAAAGATTTGTGTTTTTCAAGTGACTTGTTTGATATCAGTTCTGAACTTAAAGGTGATATTAAGACTTACTTTATTATTTTGTAGCTGTATAAATGCATTTCCACCTGTCTGAGAATTGGGATTCAAAGATATCTTGACAGCAAAATATCATATGAGAGCTGAAAACAGATTTCATGATGCTTAAATTATAGAATCTGTCTTAATATCACTTTTAATTTTTTTTCAAAACCACCTTGAAGATAAAAGGATTTATTTTGTATATTGATGTGTTAATTGTTTATTGAAATCAGCCTCCCTGTAATGACACTGGTACCTTGCCACTATGATATCAGTTATTTTATTCCTTTCTGTCTATAACTGGTAAATATTTGTCACCATGGGGCCTTATCTTGAATGAAGGCCATGTATTCTAACAAATTTTATTTTTGAATCTAGAATTAGAAAAATAGAGAAATATATTTGTGATAAATATTTTGCACAAAATGTAAATAGCAAATGAATTTAAAACATTCCTGTATTCTAGTGAAGCCATATATAGTACAAACAATTATCAGCAAAATTTGTACAGCTGTTCTGACATTTTTCCTTTTTTTAAACAAGACTACAATATCTCAAATATTATTATGAGCTAATACATATGTTCATATCAATAAATTACTATTTAAGTTTGGAATGTTATTCAATAGATCTGATATTTTCCATGACAAAACTCAATTTACAGATTAGTTTTATCACAGGTATGACAAAAAAAAGCCAAAATTTTCAAATTTGCTGGTACAAGTACACCTGTTATTTGTCTAGTGACATAAGTTTTTTTTTTTTAAATATAGACACATAGTACTATTTATGGCTTCTAAAAGGTGATCAAATTATGATGAAAAGTGCAAAGAAATGACCAGAGTATTTTAAAATGAGAAGGAATCTTTTTGAAATGTTTTTAATCTTATATTTTGGGGTTGTTTTAAAATGTTTATTTAATTTGTCAACAGATTAGAAGGATTTTCTATACTGACTGAAAAATATGGAATTATTTATTAAAATTATATTAATTAAAATTATTTGCTTGCATCGTTATTTGCATCAATGTCTATTTCCTGCTTATTTATTCCCATAGTCTTGATTTGATAAGAATTTAGTTTTTGATGTAGTCTTGATTTACTAAGTCTTTAATTTTGCTTCAAGTAAACGCACTTATGTCAACAATGCCCAAAAGATGCTTGGCCTATTCACTTGTGTTTATGGCAAATTTATATATTCCGAAGCATCATCTCTCTTCAGCAAGCTATTTTATTAATTTTCAAACACATTTGTATACTATGACTGTAAGTTTTCTTTATACATTATGAAACCAGTATCAAAATCTAAATTTACTAATAAATCAAGACTACAAATTCTAAAATAGAAACTTTTGTTGGCATCATGAGAATGTATGATAGTCAGTCACGTGACCAAGTGATATGTGTGATTATACCAGTCTTTAACGGACATTTGGAGGATTTGCTGGAAACATCATTGTAAGATGAATGCTGTTAATGATGCCAATTTGGCTGTGGTTTCAGTTCATAGCTGAATAATGAATTTAAGACATTCACATGGTTCTTGTCTCCAGTAGAACAAAAATTACTATAAAATTGTATTTGAAAATTATTACCCTGCAGTGCTGTGCTGCCTGCAATAAATGTACAAAGTTTATGCAAACCTTTATAATGCAGATTATGGGGCATGTTTCTAAATGAAATAAACTTGTTTATGTAAAATATTAGTTATTCTGCTGCTGTATTAAAAACAATTCCTTTAGGGTGTGAATGGACATTCACAGGACCTGCTCCTTACATGTCACTTATTGATGGTGAGAGTTGAATTTAATTGGATTCTTTATAGGATCATGTATATATTTATACCACTGAAAAGTATCATCTAAAGACAGCAACTCGTTACATTTGAGAGGATGCTCATTGGTCAAATTATCTCCACATATCCAATCATTTCAACTCCCTCTTCAATGATGTGATTACTGCATCAAGAGCAGAGTGACATGTAATGGCAATGGATGAATTGCTTGGTTATTCATGTTTTCAAGGGATGTCCATTGCATAGGTAATGTTCGTAAAAGAGTGAGAAGGCACCATTGGCATCATTTTTCCAGCTTGTTATTTGTGTCTTGCTTCAAAGTTGGACTTGCAGTTTGTACTTAACAGTAGGCTAGGCTAGTTGTTCCTTTTGCATTGATTTGTTAGCAGCTGCCTCCTTCGAACAAAGACCAGATGTTATTCATTACAATGGGGGATAAAGGAAATTAATTATTCCGTTTGCATAAATAAGTGTATTCAAAAAATCATTAACAATATGCAACACTCAAGGTTACTGATACAGAATTACAATATGACTTGCATTTAAAAGTAGAATGCATTTTAATTGGAGAACAGACTAGAAATGGAGGAGACCCATCTCCGAGATGATAACATTTATTTTTCTATCTATGGCTGATATTAATGCATATCTGAGGAGAGATGCAAGAACCACTTACTTCAATTTGAAATATAATAGGCCTACAAATGATATACCCAATGCTATTTAAACATGTAATATAACTGCATTTTCAAAGCCTAAAACTCATCTTGTTCGTGCATAAAAGCGCCCAACTTAGATTATGACTTGACCAAACGACTTAGTTCATGTCTTAAAGACATTGCTTCGTCATGCCAAGACGTGTGTCACATGGAAACTATTGCACATGCATGACTTGATAAAAGAAAGTTTTGGACAACCCAGATACATCCCAGAAAACAACCACCATATTTAGTGTGATAATATATATCTATCTGAATTAGCCCGTATCACAGGAAAACTATTGTCAATATCAACGACGCGACAGTCGTGTACACGAAGAACTTCGTGTTCGTGTTGAACTGGGTCCAATATGTTCCGTTTTGGCACAAATAATTCCAAAATTAGACAGTTTAGACGCAAGACCAGCTTCATCCCGAGGCGTGAACGAGAAAGTGGTAAGAATGCCATCATCGACCTCCTTCACCTTTATCGGAGGGGAAGCTCGGTATTCTCTGTATTGTTGATGAGTTCGGAACATATCTTCAACATTACTTTCATCTTTGGCCTGTTGTAGAGATTTACTATGTTCTACTAGATTGGCACTGCGTGATTTTAATAGTTTTATCTTTTCGTGGATCTTGCTCTTTTCTTTAGACACTTCACTGTCTGCCATATCGCACATTTCCCTCTCCCTTTCGGCTATACTCAACCGTATTTTGTTAAATGCTTGATGAATCTGCTGAAGAAGGTCGACCTTGGTGCGATCCAGCCTTCTCAGAGAATCTTCCAAAGCAACGCGCTTTTCATCCAGAGATTTAGACTCTGATTGCATCTCAGACAACGCACGGTTTAGAATGGGTGTGTATTTTTGCATCGCTTGTTCGAGATCCATGACTAGATGCCCACCATTTTCTCGGTGGTCTATCACAGTACAATCACGACACACTGGTTTTATACACGGTTCACAGAAGAAGTTCAGAGGTTGCATGTCGTGCTTAGAACAGAATGTAACTGTATATCGGTCCGTATTCTTCACAAAGTCCATCAACTGAACAATACGATGATCTGTAGGAAGCTGTTTCAGATTGTCCTCCGTTGATATGAAACTGTGCCTACATGTTGGACAATGCAATGTAACAGCCGTAGGCATACCACGTAAGGAAGGGGTGAGAGTGTGACGGTATTCACATTCGGTTTTGAATAACTGCAACAAACAGGCCAAGCAGAATGAATGGTGGCAATTCAGAATCTTGGGAGATTTGTCCGGTTCAGAAAAGCGATCTTTACAAACATTACATCGGAGAAATACGTCTTCAAAGTTTTCTTCGTCCAAAACCATGCTCCGTTTATTGAGAGCCGTTAGTGAAGAGTATATTCCTTCATTCTTCTTCAAACCATGATCTGAAAAAAATGAACATAAAAAGTTAAAATAGTACGAATGCCAAGCACTGTACGCTTTTGTACCAGTCAGCTATCATCATTGGTTACGTATTGGTTTCTTTCGCTATTTTTAGTTTGGCGGGAAAACGTCATCACAACGACGCGATTGTGTTCTTCCATTGACGGTGATTGGGTTGGTGAGTTACTTTCTGCTATTAAAATACGTTAGTTCGATAGCTACTATTAATCTTCCTGAGCAGATTGCTGTTCTCCCTGCATGCGTGGTTACCATATTATACCTTACTCTTATAACGCCTAGCTATGGCGCTTTCGTCGCAGGTTACAACAGAGGCTTATGTCCCTTGTTTGATGGTGCATTATCTGGGCAATCTGAGCACCATGATTCAAACCCTTACAGAAAGTCTAGGCTTTCATAATTAAGTTTTCCATTTGGAAGGTGCATAAGATACACCCGCCTTATTATTATTAACAATTGATTGAATTCGGAGCACAACTACACCTTATATGACATAGAAAAACAATCCGGATAAAGTTTTTGTACGAAAGAAACCAATGCATCAGCAGAATGAAAAAACTTTGAATTTACTGAAAAATGAGTATATGTAATCACTTACCACCATTACCACAAGCCATTATAAACAATGAAACGATTTAACACAATTTGAACATACACAAAAGTATCCAGTGAGTCGTACTGATACGTAAAAATGATATAATTTAGCAAATTGCCAGATGATACAGTTCATAAAATTTTTATGTCAAATTCACTTAAAACTGACTCATCATATTCGCTGCTACCACAAACCTATCCATGTCTAAAATATTTAGATGCATTTCAGATAAAAACCTACTAATATTCTATTGAAGTTCAAAACACTGTTTTTATCTAAACGATAAAATTAAATCGTAATATACAAAGCATCACAACACAAATCAACACATGCACAGCTGTTGACAAACCAAAAATAGGTCATATTCAATATGAATACCTACCCATACAATGGCTTTTAAAAAATCGATCAAACTTGTGACAAGTATATCTATATTTTATTCGATCAAAGTAATTCGGTGTATTTATATCGTCAAAATAATTTTTCCAACGTTTTCATGTACCAATTGAAAGTTGAAGTGGGGTTAATAAAAACAAACTGTGCACTGTGCATGGAAAACGCACACAAAGTGAAACAAATGACACAAAAAATAAAAAGAATTTGAATGATTTCACAACAGCATAAACAAATTTTAGTCAATATCTTCTTACCTTTTATCAAATTGCGAACTACAAGTTTATAAAAGAATTCATTTGTGATGAAATATTTGTGTGAGAAAAAACAAATGCTTTAAAGAGATTTTGTATATAAAAAGAAGTTAATGAGGATAGTGATCATCCTGATCACACCAAAACTGCTATTTGACCAGAACAGATGCATGGATACATTAGGTTACGGCTATGGTATACCCCGACAGATCAATAGTTTTTCAACTTCAATAGATTGACAGCAGTGAGAACAAAAGAGAACGTAATAGTAGAATCTATTTACAGGTTATTTCCAGATAAACTCGACTAATATTAACCAATACTTACTGGATTCTTTAGCAGCCAGCTCTTCCTTCATAGCAGCTTCTTCCCGCTCATAATATGCTGCCTTAGCCATTCTCGGTAATGTGTTTGGCCTACTTTTACACACTGAAAATAAATTCATAAAAAATATATAAAATATATGTCATATCACACCCAACATAACAAGCTGACATAGAATTAATTCATTACACGACCCAAAACTAAATCAAAACAGGTGAGTTTCACATTTCAAAACTCATTCTTTTTTGGACTATTTAAAAGGTAACTGACTCAATCCTAAAATGACATTCCTAGTTCACCTAGTCCGGTATGTTACCGTTTTGTATCAGTAGGTTAATACACCGTAAACTATTTGTATCCTGGTAAAACTAGTAGTTTGTTTGTCCAAAGATCAAATTTTCAGTTGGTCATTGTTGGGGTAGAATTAATCACATGGCCTCAAATTCACCGAGAAAAGTTTTCAACATACGATCACAAAAATATAGAGGTCATACCTTTTGAACGCAACATCTCGTGCAATTGAGTTGTGAGTTCGATATTCCTAACAACTTTCTCAACCATACGCCTATGGTGTGAGGGCACCTTTACTTTGATAATTCTTTTTTTTATAATTAATAACTAATTAAGATGAATATTTCATATACAATCCTTGCCTAGAATGTGAAACGAATATCCCAATCCTAAATGAATGCACAACTGACACACATTTGTAACCAGGTGCTCCGACATGGTAAAAACTATCTCGTCAAGAATTCATTCAATACCATGTGATTTGGGCGTGATTTTAACAGTTCTTGTTCCTTGAAACCCAAATAAGTAAACTGTGTAGAGTAAAAGTGAACAAAGGAAGTGTAACCGTATAAAACAGAAGTAATATTATATTATTCAACCCACGTTAAGTATTTACTTTGATATTTTATATATAGCGTGCTCGTTTGATTAACGCAAAACGATCGTACAAAGTAGCATGTAACATTTGACAGACTTGAAAGATTTAATGATATGCATTGATTTAAGATTCGAAAATGGAATGTGTGACAAATATACTTTGCCATTGACGGAAGCCAACCCAATGCTTATTCAAATGGAATTGAGATTTGTGACATTGTTAAGCTTAAAGTGTTTGAATCCTCCCCAGTTAATCAATAGGTTTTTGCCAGGTGTTAGGTTTTCAGTTAGTCTGCAATCCATCTGTAGTGGGTTGTGCTTTTTTCAGAAACGTTGTGGTTCTGTTTACCAAAATTAAGTCAAATATCATTTTCTCAAGAGATTTGACTAATTGACTTGACAACCAAGTTCTCTATTTGTTAAAGCTGAAAGATATCCCCACATTAACTTGAACCCATCCCATTTTATTTTCAAGGTTGAAAACTGGTCAATCGTTAAATCGAACTCGTTATCATTTTCTTCACAATATTGTTTTATTTCAAGAATGTTTTTGTCAAAATTGATAAATTTCGATAATGACCATAAAAATGGCTGGTTTGGCTAATCACAGAGCCTTGGGCAAGTTTATATCTACACGTCTCATGTTTGGTAACATCTTTTATGTTGACAGACACTTGACCAAACCTGCTGCTTCATAAAAAACTGAATCACAAACTCTAAAGATATCATCATACACAGTTTAGTTCATTTTCGTTGCCAAACATGGTTGACATTGACATTTTGCGTTAAACTATAACGAGTAATTTTAAAAAATAGTCAAATTTTCAAGATATTTCTGAATTGAAATGACGTTTTATGAACCGAATTTCTATCTTAAAATTCAGTTTTAACTCTGTCTTTTAGACTATTATAATAGATGTTTCAAAATTTACCACGTTAATCGGCGCATATACTCCCACTCACTCTTCATTATTGAGCTTAATTCGTGTAAAACCGTCAGTTTGAGGGTACCCGGGCTATTCAAGGACTAATTGAATCGACTGTTGCTTTAACCTGTTTAGTAAAGCATTGCATGTGCATACGAAAGCCTTATTACGAATATCAATAACATGTTGATATACTAATACAATGGATTAAGTATAACGGACTATATGCTTCATATATTTAACATAATACAGGTAATGTCAAGCTTGCATACACCGCAAGTAGAAAGTCAATTAAACAGTTTATTAATAGGTCATATTACGAATATGCTTCACATGATTGATCTGTAACAGTAACTTTAATACAGTTAAAAAGTTTTAAATCACAATTTGAATAAAAACAAAATGTTATCAATGTTAAGCATGATCAATTGAGGTTTATATCAAAGCGTCTGTACAAACGTATACTAAGTAATTGTAGTATGAAAAGTAATAATGTACCAGTTATATACATGTTGCTCGGAATCTTTTTGGTCTCATACTTCCTAGTTGCATGCACTGTGATAATATTTATGTGGATTAGACAAAAGCTTGATGTGCAGATTATGTCATAGTGTTATCCTATCTAGATCTGTCTTTCAATTCGATAAAGAAGTAAACCAACATTCGATATATAAAAAATCTTTGTTTAACCTCGCTATCAAAATAATATGGCGTATTGTGTGATCTGTCCCTTAACCACCTGCATTATATGCCGCCGTTTAGGAAACGAAGATGTTTCTTTGTGTTCAAAGAGTTAGCATGGCGTACAAGTGGTGATCTTCTAGTTAATAATATGTATGATATTTAAATTGTTATTTCATGACATAATGAAAATGGTATGCAACAGTTGCGTTCACAACACAACACATATCTACATATTGTGTATCCAATGAAATGACAATACATGAAGGTGTATACTTACATGCTCCCTGCCAGGTCCGCACAATATATAAACACCAATTAAAAAACCCGTATAGAGGATAATTTATTTGTCCAGCTCCTGTTTTCCTCATAGATTTACTGTTTACTATAGTCAATATTCAAACGTTCCATCTCGTCTGCGCATGACTACATTAATAAAATACACCTAATATGACCCCAAAAGGTTAATAAACCTTCGGTTAACCAGTGCGTTAGTTGATCCCAATGTAGTCATTGGAGAACGTTGCTGTGTCTTGGTTATCCAGTTACTCTACTGAAACGTTCAGACAAATCGGATTAAGTTGATATTCAGTATCGTATAGTTTGAATGACTGGGCTGTTCATTTGTAGTCGTTATGGATTAACTCTTGTACAACAGCCTATACAATATAAGCTTACTTATCTTGCCTCAAGATAATATCTAGCCATTTCATTATAAAGTCTATGGTCCAATGGCGGTAATGTATAAGCCCTTCTTGAAATGAATATTCGACATTTAAAGATATTCTTACCTCAAGGAAGTTACAATCTGCGCCCATTCTTACTTTTCAGAAACAAGCAGGCTTAAGCTTTTACCTTTCTCCAGGTTATCTCCCTTTGACCGAACAGATCGGTATCAACCTTTTTGACCGATCAGTTGCTTTCGCTCTCATAGTACCCGTTTCATGTACCTTGAGAAATATAAAGAACCAAACCGCTCGTATGCAAGATTTTTACAGAAAATGATATGTACAAAATTGGTGAATTGTAGGATAGTCGACCGATGTATCTGAATAAGATCTAGATTAATATCATTTATGCACTAACGGTGCTCTTCATCATAGATTCAGCTTTACGGAAACTATCGAGAGTTTTTTTCCAGAACTTCCCATGGTGTTTTATAGTAGCCATATCCTATGTTGGGTATTTCTATTTTCCTAAATATTTGTATTTGTTGATATGTTAAAGTATCACTTAAGAACAAAAGAATATTCAACCGAAATGCCTACGCTCTGACACAACAGAATGCTTTTCATTGGTTTAGGGCTTGTTGCTTGAAGGTGGCAACTAATTTGTATTCAGTAAAGTGATTATAATGACGATCGTTAATCGTCAAAAGTTCCTTCTTTTAGGTCGATTGAATTGCCCGAATGCAAGCATTAAATCTATTTCGGTTTCTGAAAATTTATTTGACCCTAGAACTCCAATTCACTGCCAATGTAGATACTTCTCTGATACAGTTGTACTAATCAAGGGAATTGTCGATTAATCATCACAAAAACGGTTTGATACAGTTCTTTCAGTGTGTATCTGTCTTGGAACTGTAAGAAACCTTTACACTGTAACCAGTAGGACAATATACAATCACATCGTCTTAAGGAACTCTTGAGGATAATTATTTCAACATAAAGCAATTGACTTGAGGTAAAATAATATATTCTACTTTAATACAATACAACATAAATGTACCGACACATTACATGGACAGAAGTAAAATAAATAATAAGCTAGATATAGGCAATAAGTACGAGAAGAAACTGCTTTCAGTTTACAGAAAAAGTAGAATTTTTCTGAAGACGTTGAGATATATCGGCGTCAAAGTCATCCGAGCTGAATTTAAGTCTGATCCTGAAGCTATAAGAACCATATCCATAATATCCTTTATTGGTAAAATAATTCTCAATTAAAATAAAGCTGTAGTATTAGAACTATGCCTTTATGAAATTGGGGTTTTATTCTATTACTTTGTTTGCTCTCTGCGCTCTAACTTCTTCGCATACGGAATATTTCCTTTGTCAACTTTTAAGGCAAACCTTCTTAGTACACAAAAAATTGCTACGAAAATGTTACGAGCCTAACTTACATATTATTATGCTAATGATTTTCGATTCACATAAATCTACAATAATGTACAAAAAACAATAATAAAACTTATGAGGTATACCATTTAGGAATATTTATCAGGCTTTTATATAAGTTTATCACAATGAAAGATATCGAAACGGACCGGAAACTACTATTGCACATAAAGAGCTCCTAGAAGGCAATATTTGATAGGGAAAAATAATTTTGTGGAATGAATTTTAAGCGGTAACCGCTTATATTTGTAAGTTACATTTTATTTAAATAGTAAGATTACAACCCATTAGACAGACGATGTTTGGGACAAACAGCAAAGACAGTATTTTCATGAAGACATCAAATACTCGAATGCTGATGAGACCAACAGTCAAAACGCCATTGAAAGCATACAATGTAGAGTATACTTTCATTATTATAATCAGTATATTTCCATTAATATGATATATAATACTTGAAATGTGATATAAATGTATCTAGAAGATTTTGATATATCTTGATTAATTTAAGACATTTGAAGGCTATATCTTAAATGCCATTATTGTATTGTACTTGGATTATTGGGTTTGATATCCTATTAAGTTATAACTTATAATAATAATCTATTCATAAAGTCTATATTATTTGGGAAATTCGCAATAAATCATAAGAAAACGTTGTTACATTATTTGTAACCTTTAAAAATAATATGGGATATCCTTCCAACAGTTTGCAGAACATTTGATTGTAAAAAAACTTAATCCCTGTTTTTTTTTAATATGCCTGGTTTTCTCCAAAAATAAAAGTTCCCCATAGCTAGTAGAAACAATTTTAACTTATTTTCAGTGTCTAAGAACACAGCACTTCTCTAATCCTGTCTTCCTGCTGACTGTCATTTTCTTACTCCATATGTGCATGTTCTCTTCATAGCTCATTAAAACGATATTTATAGCACCAACTTGGATCATTGGATCATATATACACCGAAAGCATACAAATGCATAAGTACCAAATCCACAGTTTAAATAATTGTTAACCATTCTTGCTGAATAGTTTCTTATTTAAGCTGATTTCATTCACGATGTAAACACTATTTCACCAAAGTTTTGAAGCTGTTGTCTAACGTTCAGTTCCTGACGACTATTAAACTGGAACGAAACACTGAATTCATTGGTGGTATCAGGAGGTATATAAACTGTCTTATCCAGGATCTTTTTAGATTTCTTGTGACCAGTGAACAAAAATCCAATATCTTTTTCTTGTAAGGCTGTTTCTAAACCCTTCAGTTCAGCGGCCAGTTCCGTTTCTCTGCTAGCTAATGCTTCTCGTCTTCGTTCCAGCTGATCAGCCTTCTTCTGGATTTCATTCTCTGTTGAATCAAACAGTTCTTTTTCACGTTCAGCCAAAGTTTCTCTGATACGATCAAACGTCGACTGTATTTGACGATTCAGCTCAGATTGTATTTGTTCAAGACCTTCATTAGACTTGGCAATAGCATCTTGTTTTGTGACCAGCTCGTCGATATCAGTTTTAAGGAGATCTATGGTTTCTTCTACTTTCGGTGTGTATTTCTTCATGGCTTCATCCACATTGACTACATAATGTCCTGACTTTTCCTTGTGGTCTATCACAGTACAATCACAGCAAACAGGCTGGATACAAGGCTCACAGAAAAAGTTTAGAGGTTGAAGCTGATGTTTGGAACAGTATTGAACATCAGTTTTACCAGTAGATTTGACAAAACACACTAGTTCCATGATTGTGTGATCACTGGGTAGACGACGCAACTCTGGTTCAGATACTATGATGCCATCTCGGCAAGATGGACACTGGATCTTGACGGCTGTAGGCATTCCACGGAAGGCTGATGTCAACGTTTGACGGAATTCTCCTTCAACACGAAACATTTGTTGCAGACAATCGAGACAAAAGGTATGATGACAAGGCAACATTTTCGGTAACTTGTCAAAATCATTGAAATTTTCACGACATATCATACATTTTAAGAATGTTTCCTCGAATCTCTCCTCGTCAAAAATTAGATTCCGTCTTCTCTTCTCGAGTTGAGACATAGTCTCTTTAACACTGACTGGCGTTTGATCTGGAAAAAAGAAAAATAATAGAATGTTATGACATAATTTGCATAAACATACACATTTGAAATTCGGATGTATAATGTCCTGTTATCATCATAATTATGAACTTCACCAATTTTATACCTAACGTAAATGTGTGAAAAATTCAAAATATGAATTTTGAAATGAAAATTTCAGCATGTATTATAACATGTTTAAATGTGGTTTGACTTGAATTGTTACTATTTCTGCGTTGACTAGCATGTGTGTTGAATTTTAAATAACTTTTCAAGAATATTCTACAACAAATCACACTAAAAGAAAGGTCTGTCTGAAACTGTAGTGCTATTCTATTTCTTATCATTGGGTTCTTAATGATGCATGGTGCCATGATCTCCTGTTGACAATTCTATGGCCCCTACTGCCACCCCTACCCCTATACACACACCCGATGATTCCTGAACGTCACTGTGCACAAGCATGGAAATTCTTGCTGTGACCTACCTTTGTTCTCCTCGGCATCCTTTTTGAATTGTGCCAGTTTTTCTTCCAGTCGTGGGGTCTCATCGTTGTTTTCACCCATGGCTGTGGTAGTAGTCGCAGTGGTGGTGGTGGTTGTAGTTGTTGATGCTGTACTCTCTGGGAGAGTTTCTTCTGGAGTTTCAGTATCTTCGTCCTCTTGCAGTCCGAAATGTTCTGAAATGATAGAAAAAGACAATGAAAATCTAGATTTTGATGACTTATGTATCTCATTCATGTTCTTTAAACTAGCACTCTTATACCGACAACATAATTATGCGATCTTCTTTATTTAGCTAAAGTCAACAATGAAAATTTGTCAAAAAACATTCATATCATGTGAATAAGGAAAAAACAAAGACGAAAAATACATCCCTGAAAATGAAAGATATTAATATAATTATGGTAAAACCAAGAAAAAAAAGATGTGTTTAAGCGAGTCAAATGTCGACATAAAACCACTGGACCTGATAACCCAAATATTACAAACAATGAGCATAACATTTAATGGTGATTTAAGAGGTTTTTTTATCGTGTAATCTTGTAAGATATATCTCCAAAGAAAAAGGCATAGCTTGTTGAGATAAAAATGAACATATATTATGGATGCCCCATCTCAAATTCTCTAGGGGTACACATTGGAAATTCATTTGAGATAATAACTTAAATGTATTGATCAATAAATGGGTTTTAATCGTGATTATTAGACGAGGTCCCACCAAATTCAAAGCAGCACATTGATCACAGTGTGTTGGTGAAAACATTTTACACCCAAATTGATATTTCTCATGCGAGTTACAAAGTCACCATTTTATCTGAACATCAAATATAACAAGTTACACATCTTCGGACAAAAGTTTGCATTGAGTTTAGGTTTGTGGTCCGAAAGGTCCACACCAGAGTCACCTGCATAATTTGTTTAAATGTACAATCTAACAGAACTTTTGTTGTCACAAATAGTCTATTAGAACTTTCTATAGATATACAGCTATTGTCATATACCATTTAATTGTAACGTATAAATTTATTTCTAATGATTATTCAATCTTACTTTCCAACCAACCCATGATATGACTCATCCTCTAGACCGTACAAACGTATACACCATTTATTTGCATAGCTGATATGGAGGGCCATAAACAATTTTGAACCTCTCAGAAGCACAAGTTTATAAAAATTGTCTTCACTGAAGTAAAATTGTATTAATTGAAACCGATCACATTCCTTTCGAGTCTTATTATATTAGTAGTAAAGTGCATAATAGTACAACTACAATGTTAAAAATGTAGATTACTAAATGCAATATATTGAATATCTATTTAAAAATAAAATACCACTTTGTTTAAGGGCATAGTAGTTGTCAAATACAAGTTCAAACTCAACAATTTATATTGCCCGGGGCAGATAATATGAAAAAGTTCAAAAACAATAAATCACACGAATCCACACCGAATTTAAGATATGAAGTCTCACCGTCATTGTCCTCTATATCAACTCTTATATTGCTGAGAAACTCCATGGTAAAATATAAGTCCACGACACATGTAAGAAGGATAAAGATATAAACGATACCCTTTTAAAGATCCTTTAAGAGATCAAATACAAATGATGTCACAAAAAATATATAAATTGTCATTCTTGATTATCCAGGAGGGCTTACATACATGAATTCGGCCTTGTGATAATCGAGAAGTAAGCTATCCTACAATAATGACGTATGGGGTAAAGAGAAAAGAATGGGTGGATATATATTAAAGTATATAAACATATATTGGCTAGAGCTATTCGTTCATGAATTAAAAACGCTCGGGTATTTATTGTACTCTAAAAGTGAGGACCTATTGAAATGTCTCTCAATAGATATATATCATTTTAATTATGAAGACTAATACATTCAACTTACAAATAGCCTGTGACTTTTTTCTCTAACAATGGACACCTAATTTAGGACTTAACTGTGGCTTTATTCGCTTCACTTGAACGAATTACCAAATCCTTACTCCGTTCCACAACTTGGTTGCCATTGACCAAAGTCCGATGTCTATAGAAGATATCAGCGGGTCGAAAAATTAGGACCCACCAACACTTTGTCACCTGGTGAATATAATCCAGCGTAGGATAAGTAGATAACCATTGCAATGAAAGAAAATTTCAAATCAATATTTCAGAACTTATGAGAAAGTACATGTCCATGGCAATTTTACAAGAGGTGGTCACTTTCTGTTTGGAATATCATACAACCAACCTTTGATCACGAGTATGAGTTCGAAGTATCAAGACACTGATCATTCATCTTCATATGAACGAAATTACTACGATTATGGCACATTATCAAAAGCCGCCACTAAAGCTTCCCCAAATGATACGGATTAGTCTTGTTAACGGTCACTTACCAAGATCCTCACTATCATCATTATGTCTCAAGGTGACTGACTGACCCCAGTGCGTATTAACATGGGTCATCTAGTGTATGACCAATTTCGAACCTTTTAAACCTTTCGTGCCCCTTTCTCTTAACTAAAACAATGGGACAACGAAGAAAGAGACAAGCACTTCAAATACGGTGCAATGCAAAACCCTTCTGAAATCGTTCCTAAATAATTACTATAAACCACTTTTTTCTTTGCGGAGATGTCTTTTTTTCTAGCTGATTTCTGACAAGTTGTAACCGATATGCCTACCGAAAACTAGTGAATATTTAATTGCTGTCTAATGATCTATGTATAAAAGTGTCACCAGGTCGATTGCTATAAGGTAGATTTACCTTTCGAGTAAATAAACTTGTTAATCTTTGACATTTATCTTAGTCGGGTAAAAACACATATATATATAAGATAAATAAATAATATTTACTTATCAATAATTTCGTGAATACTTTCAGAATAGCACTGGCTAGAAGATTTTAGGAAGCACAGAATCAGGTTTTCTCTGGTAAACATCGAGAAATTTTTCTAGATGTATTTAACATTGGTAGAAATAGAAGAATGATGAACTCAATACCGGAATTTGAAACACCATCAAAGACAACATTACATAACAACTGAAGCCGCAACCACACAAGAAGTTCTCTGTTAATGATAGCCTAAATGTTCAGAATCTTACGTTACATCCCTTGTTGAGAGACTATGCATTCATCCAACAAATCTACCGGGCTATATATCTACCAAACAACTGTTGATGTGTTAACCAAAACCAAAGCACGAGAAAATGAGGATCATTTTTCTTGACGGTTTAATGAAGTTACAAACACTTACCCATTTTGAATAATTCCAGAAAAACAATGCAGTGATAAAAATTAGTCCTTTAAAACTAAATAGTCTCCTTTAACTGTGAACCGGGCTTCAGGCGCACCTGTATAGATGTGGATCACATGACCGTCTGAACTCCATCATAAAAGAAATGTAATCCACGACGTATTTCAAATATAAACTGAGGTGTGACAAGACACGTTCTGAATTCTTTTATAAATAAAAACAAAGATAAATTTACATTTTAAATGTCACTAAAGGTTACGTTAGTATAACCTGAATTGCATTTCTCTCCGCGGTTTCATCAAGATTCGTTCAATTTTACTCTTTAAAATGGAGTGAACCAAACCAAACCAAACTAGAAGCAGTAATTAAGTACCACTGCAAAATCATATACTGCGAACACAAAAACAATAGTCACTAACAATGTTCATCACCAACAGTGAAAAAAGGGAAAAAAAACAGAGATCAAGGATCAGCAACTTCATACCATATACCCAACTTAGATCTGAACCAATGCAATGGAGAAAATCTATAAACTACACAATGTATGCAACTGTCAAAGAATTCGGATAATTAAATGAGAATAAACATTTAAACATTAAAAACGAGACAAACCCGTCTGGGGCAACATTAACAATATCAAATAACCTTAAATTAAATACCTGGCCTAATATCCACAAAAGGATCAACTTTACAAACTAAATCTACAATAAAATGGTCTGTCGGAGATCTTTCCTATGATCATCGAGGACGTTACGTAGGTCACAGACATTGATGTTCTTCCAACCGATATTTTCACAAGGTTCTCCGAGTATGACTCTCACATGAAACATCTAGCTAAATTAACGATATGGCTCGAAAAGTCGTTCTTCCAACCATAATATTCAAAAATACGAAAAAATCGAGTTCAACTAGCTCACAGATTGTGATTGGCTTCATGGTAGTTTTTTGTGGTAAGACTCGTTCGACGTTGAAAACTGATTTCTACATTAAAACCATGCAGTACATATAGGCTCCAATGAAACAACATATCAAATCAGGCAATCCGTGTTATATTCACAGAATTCTCCTAAAAAGTGTCTTGGAGAATCACCACGACACTTCTATAAGCCAAAAAGCTTTAAATATTACAAGACAACCTAACAACCAAAGATAACTTCCTCAAATTGAATCATTGTCAATAAATATGCTCTAACATGTAAAAGAGACTAGAACGGGTTTAAAATTCAAACTTTCAATCTTACCCATTTTGTTTTCCTGTACTTGATCAAATCTCTTCTGTTTGCTTTGATGCAATACAGACAGCAAATATCTCAACTTATAAATACGAAAATCGTATGAGCGAGAATTAATGTTGAATTTACTTCAATAAAATGCTCTAGTGATTAAGTATAATATATAGGTACGTATGCCATTTATCTTGACCTATATATCTTATAATATCATATGCCTATTTAGTTATAATGATACTCGTTGTCAATTTGTTTAATAGCCCTTAATGTAACTTCATTTGAAACATAATAAGAGTGGGGTCAAATGATCACTCACTACACAAATTAATAAAAACTTCTGAACCCATTCAGAGGGTTTATGCCATGGTATATTCAGCCTTTCATAACATAATAAATGATAATTCAGGAGTGTCATCGAGGCCAAATATTTCCCTTTGTGACGTATACGTCTTGTCGGTGGAAATTTCCAAACTGACAGTAGGTTTCGCATATAACAATGAGAACATTCAATAACACTGATAGCTATGCACAACAACTCATATCAACTGAAAATATATTGACAATTAAGTATTGCTGATTAATGAAAGATTGTTTGATACTCCCCAATATAGCCAATTATATTGCTCAGTTCATCTAGAGTAGACTCTTTAATTAAATTATGTTAGTTAAATTCAAATCCAGTTCATGGTGCACACACATATAGACTTATATGCCATTTTATGGAACATGTCTTCGAATTGCGGTTTTTATTAGGTTAGGTATGTCAGTTTTGTTCATTGTTAAGTAAATGACAGTTATAAGGTTACTATTGAAGATTATAAAAGAGCATATAGTAGTCACAAAAGGGTGTAAATTCGAAATGTAAATAATGTTAGTTTCTTGACAAAAACTAGCCATTGATGTTACATATTTACTTAATACTTAATAGTGGATACTGTCGGATAAAACTACCTCGAAAATCACGTAAACCAGTAGTACCCTTCAATATCCATGAAAGCAATTCCAGTGTTGTTAAGAGAAAGAAATCGACTAATCAACAGATAACTTCAAAGTTGTTGAAGTGATATTGTGGTTGATGAACTCAAATGAATTCAAATTTGTACCCAATGTCAAATGTAGCACAAGGAAAGATAATCTACCATTAGCAATAAGATAATAATCCACAACCGACGACTTTAATTCGATCAGGTGCCTACTTTTAGTTTTCTGAAAATCAAAAGTACTAGATGCCACCACAATTAGATCAACAAAATCAGAAAGCATGAAGTAATTAATTCATTGACCTAATTTCATATCGAGTCAACATCTGTGATGAAAATGCACACGCATTTTGAATCCAAGCCATCAAATAGAGAAAAACTTCAAAAATATAAATATTTTAATACTCACAGGAAAGAGATAACCAACAAGAAACTGGATGTTGAAAACCGACAAGAATAATGAAGAAATTTGAAAGGAGTGTCGTCGAAGACCTATAAATCATAAACAAGTCATGCGGCTAAAAGTGAGACCTGTATTATAATACTGTATATATGATAGATATAACAAAAGAAGATATAATCCGTGAATGTAGTTATTAAGTCCGGCCTACTCAAGATTATCATATGATTTGTTATGACACATATAACATGTTGTAATGCAAGATTTTAATGGATGATATGAAAATTTGTCACACCCACTCCACACCTATTATACACAAACCAAGAGTCTTCACCTCAAGGATATACGGCCCACGCACGTGTGTCCTTCTAAGTATTCACCAATGGACAGTCAGTGGCTCAATCAGATCGAGTTGGAATCAACTGGGTTTAAACGGTTAAAACCCTACGAAGTCTAGAGAAAAAGACATGACTTCTTTCCAAAGTCGCTATTTCATCAACTCCAGTGCGTATTTGCTGAATCATACGCTCATATATAACTGAATATGTGACCTAAAACATCATAGTAAGAAAGAGACAATATAAACTGAACATACCCATTAAATCTGTCAACCTCTTTCAAGTTCGAAGCAATACGCTTCCAAGTTTTCAGATGAAAATCGCGCACAGGATTTGAAAAGAAGAGCAAGGAAGTTGAATACTAGTTGAGATATTTACTATAGTATACTCGCTGTTAACAAAGTAAATTATCAAGATTTGTTTTTAGGGTGGGACTGGACATTGAGTCAACATTTAACACCATGTATCTCAACAATTAAACCTACTCGGCTTGTTTTAACACAGATTGAATAATTCTTTTAAATAATTCTACTTTCTTATTCTAGTCATACTTGGTGATTGGTGAGCCTAAAGATGTATGTTGACAAAATAACGCCAGCCTTCGTGCATATGACAATGCATATAGGTCAATGGGCTAAGGATGTTTGTGCACATACACAGACTGTTATACGTATACAGTTTCAATAACTGCTTATTCTGGTTCTTAGGCAGATGTACATAAAATATCTTTGTACAGTATGATAAACGTAAAGAAAGTACCATTTTGGGATGCCGACATCACGTATAACAGTATAAACGAGGTACAATAATACTGATAGGAATTTAAGTTTGGTTCAAACGAACTTGTTTCACATTTATTCTCCTCAAATGACAGTTTATTTTATAAATGTCAATTCTGGCTACTCCATGTACCTATTTAAACTAAACGTTGATATTTTTTGGGAATAAATAAAAGAAATAAGAACTGAATAACTGTGCAATATGTCACACATATTATGGTTACATCACGTTTTATGTGCACGTAGAACTGTAAACAAATAATTTGTATGTATAAACACGAAACAATTATCCCTTGTTTGATAGGATTACAAGATTGGAAGAAGGGAATTTCCATCAGATACTACCATGCAATGTGACCATAAACCATAAGTAGTAAACGGAAGTGCAATATAACTATAATAGTAAATGTACGTTAACATATATATTTGAAATATTGGTTTCAATCAGATGGCACTGATAAAGTTTAGTTAAAGAATGTATCCTTTACACCAAACCTCTATGGTTTAAGCAACGTGATAATGAATCGGCCAAAGATTTCCCATAATCCTACAGCAATATTGAGGTACAAAAGGAAGTAAGAAGGCTACTTCCTGCAATAGGTTAAACAGTTTAACCGTTAACATAACAGACAGTTGAAAGTTAATGAGGAAAATATGTCAATTTTGTAAAGATTTTAATATTATGTCAATGTGTACATGTGCTTAATTTAAATGTTTATGTGGCTTAAATAATTTACATAAAACTACCAGAGCAGTATTAATAGAAGGTGGTAAACCTTTGAGAACAGGTCGGACGAGACGAACAGGATATAAAACAACCTCTATAAACTTACGATAATAAGACTCCTCGATCTGGTACTCGTTGGTTTACATACCTCTTTCATTAATAACTGTCCTGTGTTAAATCTGACCGATCATGTCCAAAGATGGTCAAGTCAGTCAGAGAGGATAAGATGTCAAAGATATTTTCAGTTCCTTTCAAAATCCTTTCAAAAGACATCCATCTTGAAGACAAGTCCAATCAATGGTGGAAATATGCTAACAAACGTTAAAGCAACCAAGATGGTACGCTTTCTCACAGGACAAGACAAGCGCCGACTTTGTGTCAAAACTCAAACATATATACAAGAAATTCAAGCCATTTAATAAATAAAAGGCATAGAATTGTTGTTTTGTGTTCAAAGAATGTATAGGGCAAAAAATGGCCTTCGTGGGCTTTGAATAATATCCAGATCACAATGCAATGACATTGAACAAGATATAATATTATTGTGGTTGAATAATATTATTCAGAGTAAAAAGGGATGGGTCATCAGTCACTGATTTTCTGCCCACCCAAGAGCATTATTGGTAAACCACAAAGAATATAAACAAACACAACGATTGTATCCTCCTAAGGACATTGGATCGGAGAAAATCGCCAGCATGACAGACTGTAGATAAGATAATGAAGGAATGAGAGACAGTAGATAAGATAATAAAGGAATGGGAGACTGTGGATAAGATAATGAATGAACAGATGACCGTAGATAAGAAAATGCCAATATAAACAAGATAAAGAAAAAAAAAAAATACCCACTGTGTCCATGAAGGAATGGGAGACTGTAGATAAGATAATGAAGGAATGGGAGACTGTAGATAAGATAATGAAGGAATGAGAGGCAGTAGATAAGGTAATGAAGGAATGGGGGACTGTAGATAAGATAATGAAGGAATGGGAGACTGTGGATAAGATAATGAAGGAATGAGAGACTGTAGATAAGATAATGAATGAATGAGAGGCAGTAGATAAGATAATGAAGGAATGGGAGACTGTGGATAAGATAATGAAGGAATGAGAGACTGTAGATAAGATAATGAAGGAATGAGAGACTGTAGATAAGATAATGAATGAATGAGAGGCAGTAGATAAGATAATGAATGAATGAGAGGCAGTAGATAAGGTAATGAATGAATGGGAGACTGTGGATAAGATAATGAAGGAATGGGAGACTGTGGATAAGATAATGAAGGAATGAGAGACTAGATAAGATAATGAATGAATGAGAGGCAGTAGATAAGATAATGAAGGAATGGGAGACTGTGGATAAGATAATGAAGGAATGAGAGGCAGTAGATAAGATAATGAAGGAATGGGAGACTGTGGATAAGATAATGAAGGAATGAGAGGCAGTAGATAAGGTAATGAAGGAATGGGGGACTGTAGATAAGATAATGAAGGAATGGGAGACTGTGGATAAGATAATGAAGGAATGGGAGGCAGTAGATAAGATAATGAATGAATGAGAGGCAGTAGATAAGATAATGAAGGAATGGGAGACTGTGGATAAGATAATGAAGGAATGAGAGGCAGTAGATAAGGTAATGAAGGAATGGGGGACTGTAGATAAGACAATGAAGCTGATAATGTAGCTGAGACAATGATTGTGAGATAATAATCAATATGCACCTACAGCAGGTGTGGCATTTAAAATCATATATTCTGTGGTACCTGCAACAGTTAATTTAACTATCAAAGCCCATATTTTATAATTCAATTGGAATTATGTCAAATAACTTGTTAAAGCCTGTGACAAGCAACACGTTCTACATTATAATATTCAGTTTAATATATCTATTTATTGATTTTTAAGGGAAATAATAGTAACAGTGTGACAAATATAGAAATATCAAAGAGCTTAACCTAAATTAATTTGATACATACATCCGTTAATGCTAAGATCTGCTTCCATAATCGGTTCTTATGTAGTAGATGTACTACAATAGGCAATATCGTGCACGACGTTATTAACAGCACAACATGAGATATTGGACATTAAACAAAGAACTGTGTACAACGACACCAATGATGTCCTGCTTTGTTATACAATGACAATCGTTGTTTTACTCTAAAAAGTAAAGTATATATAAATTTGCATTCCGAAAATTAACTCTACATCATATCACACTGTATAGGGTTACACGGTCTTAGTAATATATATGACACAGCCCAGAATATGCCTTAGTAAAGACATGCTGCTAGTATAACATAATACCAACAACATAGATAAAGGAAGCTCACCTGTAAATCCCGAGCTGATGAAGATAATCCTCAGATAATCCTAACACAGGATTAACATTCAGGTTCTTAGCAAACAGTGTGTAAATCGAAACACTACAAGATTTAAAAGTTGGTTGATAAAACTGAGACCCGTTATTTTCGTGTCGGTTCAGTTAACAACAGTAAAATATGGCTTGAATCTAGACATTTGATTGGCTACCTTATGAGTTTACAGGTTAATATGTCCCGAAGGAAAATGAGGTCACATTTTCAAACATCAATTTGAATAGCACAAAAAGTAATGTTCGTGTCATTTTCATGTTCGTTTGACGGATATGTCCTTTTAAGGTAATAATCGGAAATTTCCGAATCAAAGGTAAACCTCTCGTGTGAAATTGTCTTACTCACGTCTTTACAGTTTAATGCTTAGTTACTTTAAATCACAACCATGTATTGGTTATACATACTGTATAGGACTTTTTTTTCGATGTGTTTCAGAAAAGATATGTCATAGGTCATAACAAACTTATCGAAGTGCAGCTCAATATATATTTTCTCATCTTGCAAGGAAAAGAATACAAGACATTACTGTAATTAGCGTAATAACATGATCTACGTTCATATTTTCATTGCAAGAGTGAAAAAACCATTATTTTTCTAAACACCTTTTTCTTAAATTGAAATTTCCTCCTTGTGTCACAAAATCTTCTATTTGCAAATCATAATGATTTTGCTTTTACATCTGAAACAGGTCTCTGTACCATACAATGAGTTTTTGTCGAAGAAGTTAACGATTTTATACTTACGTCTGACTCTCATTCGGAGAAAGGCTCCTGACAGCATTGGAAAGCATGGTGTGTGCTGTACCCGCAAAGTTCTATTGTCGTCATCATCTTGGTATCGACGTCTGTAGTTCGCCAGCTTGAAAGATAATCCTGGAATACTTCCTTCACTAAATGTTATAGGAACAGGTGCATGTATTATCAGTAAGCTATATGGAATATATTAATCAATGTCTCGTTCCATTCCATACTATATCTCCATAGCAACGAAACCGTTCCATATATAGAATACCATGACTCACAAATAACTAGCTGATGTTGGTCATTCGGGTGAGGTTGACACAGGCATCACATAAAACACTGAAAGTATTGTTTACATCTTTGAAACAAGCGAAACCAACATTAAAATCAGTTAGACCATCTTGAGATGATTAAGATAAAGATGTTTGTTGTCTTGATATTGATCGATCAGAATTCCATTGCTGTGGTCGAGACTTGAGATACTAATATTGATCTTTAACCATTTCATCAACACATTCCTGGTGATTCGAACACACAGCACTCAATGGCTTGCAGCTCGGCTTAGGTCAACAAAGTTGTTTTTGTCTCACTATCGATTGATCAGCTGATCATATCAAAAAAGTAAAAACACAATAGCACTGACCGTTAGATCACCTTCTAACCTTGAGAAAAATTCGAAAGATAGCACCTTGTCGCCAAGAGGATAACCGTTAATGTAACCGTGTAGGTATGTTTGATTATGTCCAGAAATGAAATGTGCTATGTGTTGACCTAAAACTTCTATTAATCCATAGATACATAGCTTATCATATTATCATAATATTACACTTAAACCTTATTACACCTCGCAATCTCAAGATATCAGTAATGGCGATGTAAAAACATTGGTCTACTGATATTAACCTACATTTACCGGTCACTAATAGTCTATGCGTTTAAAACTAAAAATCCGAGAGATCTGCGAAACAAATCATTATCCAGGATCCAGCTAAATATATCAACATTCACTATGAAGATCGTCTAGGACTTCTACTATATCTTTAACTCTGGGTAAATAAATCCGTATATTTATTAATATTATCTTTTATACAGATATTTTTGATTAAGAAAGGCTATCCAAATTTGTATATTGTGAGATGCTTACGAAGTGGGCTCGAGGCGACTGGCAACTTACAACAACTCATCGGATCCTCAGTCTATAGCCGAAACAAAACGATCATATCTAAATATTGACCGACTACGAACAATTGCGACCAACTAGATGATCGTAGATAATGACAGCTCGGGTCGAATCCAAGGTCCAATATTTTTTATGAAGTAGCCAAGAACAAGAGAAACTGATTGCAGCTGGCGGGAATCGTAATTTTCTTGTCTTCAGTGCCCCAGGCTCGACTTAATCCAGAGGTTGTTCTCCAACTTGCTGTTAGTCGTTAGAAGTCGTTGAAACATCCAATTGCTCTACAGTTCTGCAAGTCGCACTTCAAATCCCTTTCTTATAAGCTTATTCTGATTCTCATTTGTCTTGGACAAAAAAGCACCCATGAGAACTTATTTTTGAAAATACCACATCATCAGTTCATTAGCCATTCTTGTCGTGCATTATCTCATAATGACAATGAAAAGTTATATTAAAGTAAACGAGCAATTGATTTCATTATGAAAGTTTTAGATGGCGTCCAAAGAATATGTCCAAGAACACAGAGTTTTTGACTGAATGATGTAGATATTAAGGGAAAGATTTCTCAGCAAATGTTTGTCCTAACCAATACAAGAATGACACTGAAAGAGAAAACTTGGCTTATAGACTATACAGCATCATCTGATATATTTGGTATATATACTGAAGATTTCTAAAATTTGAATAATAAAATATTTCTTGGTTTGCCTACTATACAGGAGTTAGCTCCCATCTTTACAAAATGAAAGAAAGCTCCGTGTTTGCGCAATTTACATGTCATATTCTATTTTAGGATGATATTTCGACCAATCAGTACTATGCTAATAGTAAATAACGAATATGGCGGCTGTAGAAACACATGTTCGCCCTAAAGTTGGTGTTGGAGTCTTTGTAACCCATCCATATCACCCAAATAAAATTTTAATGGGAATCAGAACAGGTTCAACTGGTGAAGGACTTTATGCCTTGCCAGGAGGTCATTTAGAATTCGGGTAAGAGATGATATTATTGTCCTACATTTAATGCTGACTATGTGGATTTCCTTCCCCTTAATTGTGTTTCAATCGTACATAAGTACTCATTGGCCCACAGCTAAATTGGGTCACAATCTAATACCATAAATACATCTTTGTCCATTTAACGTAGTTACACTTCGGAACACCCTACATGTTTTAGTTAGAATATTTAAATTGGATTTATTGAGATAGAATTATGTAGCATGCCATTTTCTGTCCCTAGCTTTCAACTGAGTATCATACATGCACTGTATTTCAGAGAAGAATGGGAAGATTGCGGTGCTAGAGAAGCACTAGAAGAAGCTGATCTGAAGTTGAAGAATGTATTCTATGCTACTGTAGTGAACGCTATTAATTTAGATGAAAAAGTAGAAAAGTATCATTATGTAACTATATTTGTACAAGGTGAAGTTGATACCAGTTATAAATCAGAACCAGAAAATCTAGAACCCGACCGTTGTTTAGGTAATTATTGTTGCAAAAGACAGGTTAATCCTGTCCGTTCTGCCAGTTCAGACCCACTTGAAAATTTGAATCTTTACTTATGGACCTAAGCACCTGACGTCGTTTGGTCCATTGGATGATGCTCTGATTTACTTTATCACCTTGTGAATATAATTTGGTTGAGGGTATGTTACCTCCCTTGAAGTGTAAAATTAATATTTTATTTTTACCCCATGAACTCGATATAATTTTTTTAATTTTATTTTTCGTCTGACGAAATTGAAGTTTACTTTACCAGCCGCTACAAAAGAGGTTTTTTGATAGGATATAGTGTTATTTACATTGCAGTTATTGTAATTTTCTCTTGAGTAATCCATAACAACAAGATTGAACAATGTTCCCTTCTCTCGAGATTACCAGATAACATGTATAGAGTTCAAAGATCAAAGTGATTCCATGTTATATTTGCAGGCTGGCACTGGGTAGATTGGAACCAACTTCCACCAACTGACAAACTCTTCTGTGCTTTGAAGATTTTAGTTGAATCTAATTGTTATAACCCGTTTGATCACAAAAAATGAAATGGTTTAATTGTATTGTAAGAAATTATGTTCTGAAATATTTTGTTTATATCCGACGGTGAATCACATGAGAAACATTCAGTGCTTTTCATTTTCAAATTTTACCTTCGGCTCGCTTAGTCTTCAGATTCAAACTTTGGCCTTAGAAAATGACACCAGTTGAAATACGATGTATGATTATAATAATCTTTTGTATACATATCATCTTTTGTAAATAGCCACATTATAATTAATTAGTGTCAGAAATAGATTATGTTATATAGATTTCATATAAGCATAGGCGCACCTGACAGCGAACTTAATGAATGAAAAATGTTATGGGTATTTTATTTGAAGCTGTACATTTTGAAAATAAAACTCCATAAAGACGATTAAATTTTTACTTCCTAGCAAATACTGGTGTGTACGTGACGTTTTTAAAAATATTATTATTATTATTATTATTATTATTATTGCTATTTACAGTGCTAACGCCTAACGAACAAATTCCTGTGCATTTGCAACGAATAAGTCAATGCTTGTACAAAGAATCAAGTTGAAAAGCAGACATGTTAGCTTAATGTAATCGACACTTGACCACCAAAAGGTTTTTCTGATTGCCGCCGATTACTAAGACAATCTTGAATAAGCATAATGCGGACATGGCCATAAAAATGAGTTAACCTTAAAATGATAAAGATTTTAATACTTATGATTAAAATATTTGTATGTATTATTTGTTATCAATGTATTTATATTCTTTAGACAAAAATATGTAATCAACAATGCACGATATTGTATAGTTCAGAAACAAGCTTCTTTGAAAAAACAAAAATCTTCCATGAAATTATACTTGGGAATGCGACGATCTGTCAATGTTTTGAGTAGTGGGGTTAGTTGAGAACTTGGCTGGTCCTGTTCAATGTGTTTCAGACACTTCAAAGTCACAAATCAGCTCTCCAACTATTCCTCTCTTGCACGCTAGACGTCAAGGCAAAATCGTTTAGTTAGGTAACGCCTCTGCCGAAGCCCTCAGCTTTTCAGAACAAAATACACTGCTTGATGAATTATTGTCATCAGAGATGTCTGTAACACCCTCTGACTATTGGAAAACACTACATTATAATATGTAATGGTAAACATAAATCCCCCCCCCCCCCCCCCCACAGCAACATAAACCCTAATGTGTTTTTAAAAAAAAAATTAGAAAATAATTAACAAATTATATTTCAGTATTAGTCATTACGACAAACTATGATGCCTTAAAAATTAACCTATAAATTGAATCATCATGAATATAATAGAGTCTCCCCTCTCACGGCCCCTAAATTACAATGCTATAGGTGTAATTGACGTCACAAATGATGATATTTGAATATCAGTATTGGGAAAAATCACTCTGATCTCATATAACGTGTAGATGACTGGTTAGTTGTTACTATAAATAAAACGGACCAGCCCCTTTATCACAATACTCACTACTAATGTATAAGAAAAGTCATTTATTACCTGTACATTTCAACTCAAGACATACTCGTGTTAACAAGAGACAATAACAAAAACAAAAGATGGAAGAACGACCTCAAATAGGATGTGTCGAGGATTTAGCCACATTGACCAAACTGGATGAACAGATTTTATTAGAAGAACTACAAGAGAGATACAACAGAGATTTAATCTATGTAAGTTGATTTAAATATATTTTCGAGTCATTGATGAGACAACCCTATACATTGGTATCATGTTATACAAGGCGAAATATACGATGTTCTACATTTTATGTTGTCAAATCTGTATGGCCACAGGGGTACAATATATTTGGGAAATGACTCCATGTGTGCGAACCGGACAAGATGTAAAAAGTACATCCAGCTTGAGAATGATTTTCAGAAATATTGAATAGAAAATATATCCACGCCCATTGAAATATATTTCCCGTTTACATAAAGTTGTTATGAATACATAATGTATGAAAGATTTATATGCAATGAATATAGTGGATTTGTTTATGTATATTGAAAGCCTGTCGATCATATTAAAGAACTGAGTTTATGATATATTTAAGTGCTCTTAAACCTGTTTTAACATCACAATTTTAAATATAGATGCTATTACCAGACATTCCTAAAATAATATTTTCCTTGGTTTTAGCAATAAATCACCGATCGGAAAAATAATTCCAATAAAAGGGGCATTCTGGTTTTTTCGTAGGTCGAAAAACATTTTGGCTCAAATTTATCAAAACTATATTCCAAAATCAAGAAAAAGAGTTCCTGAATTCTTTAAATGGCATTTAGCAATTGTAAAAACAATATATAGGCACAGCTTTATTGAACAACATTCACTGGTTTAAGTTCCTAGATTTATCTGAAAGTTTAACTAAGAAAAACCTGCCATTAATTTTAACACCAAAATTATTTAAATGGCTTACGTATTATGCATGCTTCTTTAAACAGGTACATGTATTTATATGCAACAGGATCTACTAGGCTTTAAATCAAAGATAGAATACCATTATGTATTGAATTCCATTCTGGAAAGTTTATACAGAGTGAAAATAATACTGGTCTTAACCAGGAAGTCTTAGTACAGATTTTGTACAGCCAATAAATGAATAATAAAATGTGGTTGGATAGGACAATCCACTATTACTTAATCCTTCTGTATTCAAACATGGTCGATAAAACAGTTGATTTGGTTACCTCTGATTAAAAACCCCACGTAGAGATTTCATTATGAAAGAAGGTCATCATTTTCATTTTAAATAAACCCCCTCTCTTACAGTATAGCAAACTCTTCAATATGAAACAGAACATCATTTTCATTTTTCCTGCCTCCTTTTCTTGCAGATGGCTAACCCTTATTATAAAAGAGGGACAAAATTTCAGTTTTGGTTACCACCCCTCTCCATTGCAGACCCTATGAAGAATTTCCATAATGTAACATGGAAGTCGGCATGATAGAAGTAAAATATGGAGTAATGTTTTTCATAAATAGAAATTACTTGTTAATTGTTATGTGAATACGATATGTCTTGTTCTACCAAACTAACAAATTAACGATAACGCGTCATTATTGATAATGCGACAAAGTCTTAAAATCTACATCATAAGAATGTCTTAACATATTAAGTCGTGTTTTATGTACACAATTATTTACCAATAGTAACATTAACAATCATTCAGATTGATTACACAAGCCTTGAGGATATAACTTTCTATTGACGGGTTTAATGTCTTTTAACTTATACAGGGTACATTTCCTTATAAATTCTCACTCGGTAATATTAATATTCTTATAATGAACATTGAGATTTTCAAGCTTGGTAAATATGTTTTTAAAACCATCTTCAGACTTACCCGGTGGTACTAAACAACAGAATCTCCCTATATTCTGATACAACCATAAAACTAAATAATAATATTTATGACACTAGGTAAATCTACTGATGAATATTTGCTCTTTTTGGCCATGTTTAAATTGTCTGAGAATTCTAAGAGGTAGTATCTCTTTAAAGAGTAAAACCAGTACATTTCCTCAAGGTTTTTTTCCCCAAATATTTTGGTTTGAATTTCTCAGTTGATATAAGTGATTTAAGTGTTATTCAAATAAAACCTTATATACACACGGTAAATCAATTGAAAAAAAATAGTTTATATATAGCAGATCATATATAATATATATCATATAACGGGAGGTTTATTTAAAGTAAAAAAAATCCAAACAAGAGCTTGAAGCTAAACACACCTAGATTTCAAACCAGACTTCTGGGTCTTGTTGCAAAAGTCGTAAAAACTCATGACCAAGTCAGTGGGCATTATAATAAGAACTAAATGATTAGATTTTATATAATTTAGTATTGATTCTCACTAGTTTTGAGACATATGTTACGTATATTGGTAATAAGTACACATTAGAAGGTACATTATACACTCGTTACAACAGTTTAGATATAATAATTATGTGGTTCGTTTGTATGACAACAAGACGTCTGATTTTAATTCTGTTTAAAATGCTATGGATAGTTGACGTTGACGTTAAGTTCTACTAGCTGGAAAATAGAGACGGTGGTATCCTTTGAACATCCCTGTTGGTAGTTGTGCAGCGTAACCAAACAATTGTTATATTCATTAGCTTATTTATGTTGTGCAAAATACAATTTTACACCAGCTATTAAATTACCTAATATATTTGACAATGAAACGCAACAAGTTTGAATTGTAAGCAAGGGGATCGTCATTACATAAGTAAATTATCAGTTCATTTGCAATACAAAATATATTTAAATATGTTGATATCACATTATATGACCGAAATACCAGTCTATCTGTTTTCTTGTTCTATTTTGTAGACGTATGTTGGTGATATTTTGATTGCAGTAAACCCTTTTAAAGATATTGGTATTTATGGTAAAAAGGTGAATATCAATGTTGTAGCATTCATCGTATAATCAATATTTCCAAGTAGATGTATGTGCATAGCTACATTAACAAGTAGGACCTATAATTCCATAAAAGGGCCTGTAATTCATCCAAAGGTCTTGCCCTTGTGGTCCCAGTATTTCATGTTATAGGTCTCACAGACAAGGATAGACAATTTTGAACATTGTAAAGTAAAGATATAAATGATAAAACAGATTCCCGTAAGGTACACATGTTATCCAATCATACATACATTTTCCATTTCAAACAGGAAACAGAAAAGTATAAAAATGCTAAGAAAAGTTCCAATCCACCCCACATATTTGCTGTTTCTGACATGGCGTTTCAATCTATTTCTGGATATGGTGGTTTACTTCCTAAAGATCAATGTATTTTAATCAGGTATATATGTGTTTCATAATATGTAATATAAAAGTCACCTCTAATTGTAATTGACGAAACTGACAGAAAGCCGTTGTATTTATGGACAATGACGAACGTATAAATTATTATTCTTTGATTCTTAGCGTATATGGACAATTACTGTTGCAAGTTTTCTTTGAGCATCTTACATGTACATGTATGTAATATTTTTATTTTCTAACAGCGGAGAAAGTGGAGCCGGTAAAACAGAAAGTACCAAATTGATAATAAAACAATTGATAGAACTAAGCCATGGCAATAGTCAAATAGAACAACAAATTTTACAGGTAAGATAACATTGCAGTGATTACCATTATCAACAATATCAACTCACTGACAAGTACTCCGTCTAATGTCTAACATCATTAGGCGCTTTTCTTGAATAAAGTGTCTAATTTCAACGTTTTGATTGGATTGCACGCTAGCGAATAAGCTAATCAAACCCCTCGCTTACATACGTAGAAATATTGTTTACAGTCTTTCTGTCGATGAAATTTTATTGCATTAACAAACTTACTCTTTGATACCAGAAAAGTTTTTAATGATAAGGTATTAGACGGAGGTTGTAATTCCCTTACAATGTGAAGATGTATTCTGTTATCATTTACTGATTGTTTTTGCAGTTTGATTTTTAAGTACATTTGAATAATCTCAACACAAATTTTTTTAGGTAAATCCATTATTAGAAGCATTTGGTAACGCCCAAACTCTGATGAATGATAATTCCAGTAGATTTGGTAAATATATACAGCTTCGATTCCTCGATGGACAAGGTAAAATACTTATTCTAGTCATAATTCGACTGTTTCCTAACTAAATCCGATATTAAGTCAATCAGATCTTTTGTAAGTGTTAGATAACAATTTAGGTTCTTAATCGGTCTATTCACCAGCTGGCCAAACCTCTAGGCATTGATCTTTTCCGGATTATCCTTACCCAAGGCAGATCTAATACCAGATTTTCTGTATGGCTTTTTCTATTTGTTTTCCAGTCAAAGGTGCCAAAATATCCGAGTATTTACTCGAGAAATCCAGAGTCGTTGGTCAACATGAAAAAGAAGAAAATTTCCACATATTTTATTATTTATTCGCTGGTCAGAGAGAAAACACTACCACCAATTTACACCTGAAGGATCCAAATAAATTTCGATATTTAACAAATGGTGCCGAGCATTTCAACTCCGATTTACCACATCTAGCCAAAGAGTACAGGGAATTGCTAAATTCTATGGATTTGGTTGGATTTACCGATTCGGTACGTCCCATTTACACCTTCATTGTTTAAAATCTTAATTTTAGTTATCACCAAAAGATTCTATCTCTTTGTCACTTTTTAAAAAAAATATTCATTCGAAATAATCATTTTTCTCTTCTGTTAACAGGAACAAGAAACACTGTTTACAATGATAGCTGGTATTTTACATCTTGGTAACATCAAGTTTGAAACAAATGAAGAAAATGATGAAACTTTAGTATCAAATCCTGGTGATGATCTACAGACAGCCGCTGTAAGTTTTAAAGTCGTGTCTTCTGCACCGGGCAGCATGCCGTAGTGTTTTTTGGTTGTTGTAACTGGAAATGAATTTTATTAGGAACAATCCTATATTCTGATTCAGCATGAGTTTCGTATTTGTTTTTTTCTAAATAAACTCACGATTCAAAAAATTTGTGTAATTTCGTAAATTATTTATATAGAATACCACGTAAATTCACCTCAGTAATTGTTTCAAAGAGTGTTTAATATGACAGATTTTATATTGACTGTTATTCGAATACAGATTTTTACCCTAATATTTCTTATTAAAGAGTGTTTATCACACGGGTTAGTTTTGAATCATTGGTATCACATTACCAGATATTAAAAGTGGATTTTGGCAAATGATTTTTCAAGTATCAAAATACATAATGCTTGTATATTCCTTTTCAATTATAGAGTCTGTTAAATATAGATGCTGATGAATTACAGAGCTGTTTGACTTCTATGATTGCAGTGGCAGGTGGAGAGTACATGAAAATCAACTACAGCAAATCGAAAGCTGCAGGTATGTCATCAAAAATGTAACAAAAACACAGGTGATCATAAAGGACTAGGACTAGAACCCCCCTCAGTGACCATGGTGTCATGGAGGTATCTAACTTTGCGCTTACTGTATGATTAAATAAATTAGATGATTTATACTAAACATGATATTTATTTCAGATTGTCGTGATGCCTTATCTAAAGCAATATATGGACGATTATTTGGTTGGATAGTTAATAAAATAAACCAGCTATTGGCTCCGGAACAACTTTCATATAGACAAGAATACCGAGAAATAGGTAATAAATAGTTACAAAAAAATTTTCGTTCGTTTAAAAAAAATTTATGCGGAACACTTTTTTATCATCAAAGGTATTTATATATTTGTTTTTTTTATTTCAGGTATTCTTGATATATTTGGTTTTGAACATTTTGAGAAGAACAGTTTTGAGCAAGCCTGTATCAACTTGGCCAATGAACAACTTCAGTTCTTTTTCAACCAGGTAGCTTTTTTGTGTAATATTATTTTATAGACTGCATTCAAATCTTGACAAGATCAGTAAAATTCTCATATTTTTGTTAATTTAACAATAATTGCCTATAATTATTACAAAACTATTTTCAGCATATATTTAAAATGGAGCAAGAAGAATACATGAAAGAAGGAATTGATTGGACAGAAATTGAATTTGTAGATAACAAACCTCTACTGGTAAGTATAATTTGTATTTTTTTCATACTTATATAAACTTATTTATAATTCATATCAATCAAAACTCTAAATGATTAAAACTTTTACTCACTCTTTCTTTGTTTTTCAGGATATGTTTTTGATCAAGCCAGTCGGGATTATATCACTATTAGATGAGGAATGTCAATTTCCTAAGGTAAAAAAAACTTCAAAACACTGCAATTGAACTTATATAGTAAAAGAATTTCCACGAAAATGCACCAGAGTAATTGTTGAACAGAAGTATTAATAACAGATTTTATATTGACCTTTATTCGATGATTGTCTTTTATTTTGTCTAAACTTTAACCTTATTGTGCTTCAGTATTTATCAACCGTTTGAAATATTGATATCACATATCTAGATATTAAAAGCGGTTATTTGCAATTGATTTTCTCATGCATCAAATTTAATTTTTCAGGCCACCAACAAAACATTTGTAGAAAAATTAAATCAAAACTTTCATAAACATCCAAACTTTCAAAAATCTCATCAGAGCACGTCACCGTTATTTACCATACATCATTACGCTGGAAAGGTAAGAACTTTTATACTCAGGGGCAGATCTATCTCAAATTTCAAGTTTTCTTATAGTGGCTTTTGAATTTCACGTTCAGTACAGTGACCTTCGGTTTGATTATGTGGTCTATAATGCAATATCATAAGAGCTTTCCATATACTTCTGTAATGAATGGGTGCTTGTGTCGAATAACATATGGCACTGCTTGTTACTTACACAGAGTAAAGAGATTACATTATTCTCTCCTTCATTTACCAGGTAACCTACGACACAAATCAATGGTTAGAGAAGAATAGAGACACTCTACCAGAAGGAATTTCAGATATTATGAAAAGTAGTAAAAATAAACTCATCAAGACTTTGTTTCAAGGTAAATAGTGTAGTACGTATGCTCTTGGCAAATGCTTTTGACTGCACTTTCTCGTGCTTGAGTTTCGTAACACAAGCAATATCTAATACATTGCCAAATCTGTGTGATTTAATAGAGTCTTGTCTACCATGTGTCATGAGTTTATGGACTTTTATGAAGATACAATTGGATACGAATACTCTTTCCTTTTTTAACATCTTTTTATTATCTTTTTCAGCCGAAATTTCCAGGACTGGTACGTTAGCTCTTCAAGGAAGAAAATCTACGAGATCTAATAACACAAGGGTGAGAGTCAAGCGATATGAATATAAGCGAAAAAAGTATTCAATTATAACAAACTCTTCCTTTTTCTCTCTGAGTCATAATCTTATTATAATCATTTAGATCTAACAATGTCTTAAATGATGAATTTTTATGATTTCAGAATCGTAAAGGTCCAGTGAAAGTTAGTCAAGACGCCAAACGAAAAGCAACAGTTGGAACCAAGTTTAAGGTATGTCTTTCAAATTTGAAATTATCACTCTTTGCAGTTGTATAAAAATGTGTCCTGTATATAACTCCTATTTTCCATTTACTCTTCGATACACTGAATTCAACACTTCCGAACTATCAAGTCCTGCTACGCGCTTGCAGAAAACGTTTTACAGAAGGTTTAATGCATAATTTTACTAATTTCAGAGATCATTGCACATGTTAATGGAGAAAATGACCAGATCCTCCCCAATCTTTGTCCGATGTTTAAAACCAAACCACAATAAACGAGCCGGGGAGTTTAACAATGCCTATATACAGGCCCAGTTACTCTATACCGGTATGTTAGAAACTACCAAAATCAGAAGAGAAGGTTTCGCTATTAGACCACCTTTTTCGGAGTTCGTAGAGAGGTAAGGCTCGTACGTTAACCATGAACCCTAAATAAACCTACTATTTAATGCATCATAGCCAATCAACTTCAGGGATATCCACACTTTGACATTTTTCAAAATATTACTTTCATTATTCTTATAATCGATCTGAAATAATCGATTTGTATTTTAAGGTACAAAATTCTTATCCACAAACACAAATTGAAAGGAACGTCCACTAACTGTATAGACATACTGAAATCTACTGGACTTACTGGTTGGCATATTGGAAAGACAAAGGTGTTCCTTAAATACTGGCACATAGAAAGAATGGCAGATCTTCTGGCTACATTTGGAAAAGCAGCCACACAGCTTCAACGAGGTTAGCATATTAATCTTTCAAGTAAAATATGAAGTTTGAAACCATAATTATGGTTAATGCTCTTTTGTGGATACATAAAAGCGAAAAATTGATTTCAACGATCTCAATCTTTGGTGGTTTCGTCTGAAATCTTGAAGCTTTCTGAGAATGATCAGTAAATAAAATGGAAACTACAGTTAACCTAGCCTAGTTCACTTGAATAACACATCTCCATCAGTAGATATCCTTGAAACAAGTGGATACATTCGATATGTATGTGAAACTTAACTCTTCCCTTTACTGAACTCTTATTTACTTCCTTTTCATATATTTAACAATTTTAAACACGTAGACTTCTGTCTATGTACTTACATTACATACTATACGTTGGATATGTACAGCTTTATCGTTAAATGATAATCTAAAAAACTATGTAATATCATGGTTATATCAAATGTGTACTTAGTGATATCTGATACTATTTGTTATTTAATTTTCTAGTGGTACGAGGATTTTTAGCTAGAAAAGAATTTTCGAGGAGGAAGGCTGAACGTAAAGCAGAATTAGCCAGATTAGAACGAATCAAGGAACAACAAAATGCAGCTAAAGCAGCAGAACTGGCCAAACAACTTGATATGAATAAAATGAAGTCTAAAGGTAAATTATTTCACCAGTTACATTTTATATACTTTTTCTCAGTTTGGACAATCGATTTGACCTAAATATAGCCAGTAGTATAACATGACATCTTAAATTTGTCTCTAAATTGTTTCATAAGGTCAAGTTATGTAAATGTGTACATGGTTTGCTTCTCTTGGTTTGATGGCTGGTTTTATTGTATTTCAACGAGGAACTGTATTTTATTTCATAACTATTCAATTGGACTCTTTCTTTGTCACGAGTTTGCTTCATACTTTACACAGGTGATCAAATTACATAGCTATATAGCTTAATAGCATGAATTAAAATTGTCATTTTACTCTGGTTAAACGTATGATGGCGCCTTTTACAGATATGAAATATGGCGGACACGGAGTAGTTCCTCGTGGCTTTCCAGATGAAGTAACTATTGGTAAACATAACCTATCTATTGGTACTCAGAGTGATATGAATTCCAGATTTATGTGTACACAGGGAACCCAGGTAATACTTTCTATTCATTTTTTTTAACTTTCCTCCTTGTAGTAATAGGAACCTCTTGTTAACTCGTGATTGTGTCTCTATCGTTTTACTTCCCTCGCGCAAATCCAAGCAATTAAAAGAGACCTACACACTCTTTTGTCAAACAGAAAATAGAAAAATAGAATAGCTTTCTGAGCAATACAGTGATATTGAATTTGTCTTTATCTGGTTGAATAGATGGAAGATATAGACAGCTCCGACTCAGATGATGTTCTGCAGGATATATTCGTGGCTCTAGAGGAGAACAATAAATATGGTACACCAGGAACAAAAGAAGCCACTCTTGGGTGGTTCGCTGAAACACAAACTGAACAGGTTTATGACCATGATGCCGGTATGTTTGCTGAATGGTTTCATGGTATCATATCCAGAAGGTATGTTCTCTTTTAAAGGGCGTAGTCTTTTTTTCTTAGTAGGTTGAGAAAATTGGGTGCTCGTATTAATGAAAACTATTAATTTAAACAAATATTTCCCTTACTATATCTGAAGATTTTAACGAAAGTATCTTATCTTAAAAGATACATGTTTTAAAGTTGCTGTGAGTTTGATTGGTAATCTAACCGGAAACCTCAAATGTTATGTATTCCAAGTCATTGTGACTGATGTGCGAACCAAAAACATCAGATACCCAATTATCCTAGCTTAAAGTCTTGATAACGGCTAGTTTCTTTAAACTTACATGGTAAATCAGTTTATATGGTATATGCTTCTCAACCTCAGTGGGATCATTTAGAAACGTATTTAACGATTGACTATATATGAATTGATTTAAAATTATACTGCACACATTGAGCTAGTTAAATGTGACCCATGAGCAAATATCCTTTGACGAATTTCTGAATATCCGAGGTGTATTACGTCAATTGCAGTCGTAGATTACCTTGCCTTCCATTTCCTTCCTAGTCCGACAATTCCTTCCCATTTCCCCCCTTGGCAATAATTCCTCCCAATGGTCTTCCAATTCTTCCGTTGGGAAGGAATGTCTCCGCAGATGAGACGCTCTGGCTTAAGGTTTATTGAAGGAAAGTATTCTCGGTTATGCTTGGGCGCATATCTCTTACAGTTTTAGGGTTATTCATGACCAGCATTGTATACAGGGTGTCACGTAGCCGCACACTGAACCTTGGTGTAAGATAACATAGTTTTAACACAGTTTTAACTAAATTATGTTTTCAGGGATTCTGAAAATCTTTTAAAGAATAAGCCTATTGGTTGTTTTCTTATCCGGGTTAGTGAAAGTCGATTTGGATACTCCCTATCTTTTAAGTAAGTGAATATGTTCCATTTTCATCCTTCCCTCAGAATTTCATTTTGTAACCTTAGTTTAGCATTGACTGAGGAGAACCACTGAACGATTCACAAACACGTTGTTGAACGAAAAACATTTTTTGTCACTTCGAATTTTTTGGAAAATATAATAGCCTTAGTCCATTAAGAAAATTGGGTAAAGATAAGTCTTAGTAGTAATGTCCTCACATTAGTTGGATTGGGCATTTGGGCGAGGTTCTAGCAAAATATTTATATTAAAGGAGTACATATATTAAATATATGTTTGTATTCATTAGAATATAGACACAATAATTTCACACTTAACTTTCTGGTTGTGAACGCCCTGAAGCAAGACTAGGGTAGGGTGACATAGAACAATGTATATCCATACATGTCACTTGTCATTTTAAAGATTGATTATATTTTACTTTAGAGTCGATAATAGATGTCGTCATTACATGATTGACCAATTAAAAAATGGTAAATTTGTTATTTGTGGTGAAAATAAAGTCCATCGATCATTACAGAATATGGTGGAATATTACCAAAAGGTGCGTAACATGAATTTACACATTCATCATTCATTCGAATTAACACGTGAAAATTCTGCGTTCATCAATCAATGAACGCAAAAAAAATCAATCGTTATATTATGAGTGTCAATAATGAATAATTATGACAGAGTAATAAGTGCTTGTGCGTACAGTTTAAATTTGTGTAAATTTAGTGCCATGCAGAGTTTTATGCGCAATAATTTTCAAATTTCAGATCATCTTTTTCTCTGGTTTTTTTTTTTTGCTAAACAGGATTTTGGGGTAAATTTGATTAAAAGTTGTTTGCTGCATTTTGATGAAAATAATCTTACTACATCGAATACACTATTAAATCTGCAATATCGGCTTATGTTAATGTATCCTCATTTCTGTATTTTCAGAATAAGATATCGAATTACGCTGGTTATTTAACAGAACCTTGTGGTCAGGTAGGTCTTGTTTAGCCACATAAGAATCCCCTACAAAACTAGTACATGATAGGCCTCCATCTTCGCGTAGTGCATTGAAACCCTTTGATAGAGACCTGTCTGCCTGAAACACTTTCTGAAAAAAGGTCAAAATAATGCATTACTAATTCTCCCACAATTTTCCACTAGAGTACTGATACGATTCTGATATCTTTTTGCAACTATAAAAGGATTGTCATCACATTCCTCAGATAAACAGAGTTTAAAATTTGTTCTTGTAATATTATAGGCTCATGGTGAGTGTGATTACACAGAATTACTCAATGATCAAGTCTACCATGTCCTGGAAGAAAGTGCTAAACAGGTGAGACAATCAACTGGTCTGGTCCAGAGTAATACATATACAGAACATCAATCCGAACATCAAAGCGGTTATTAATTGTCGTTAATCAAATTTAATATTACCCAGATGAATAAGCTAGTATTTTTTTTGCTCAATATCCATAATATGCAGTGCCGAAAGCGCGCCAGATTTTCGTGGTTGACTTCGTTTTGTACTATGAAGTGATGGGTGTCAAAAGTTTTTTCTGTAACTAAAAGATCAGTAAATGTAGACGTGTTAAATTCTTCAATCGATTTAATGTTACCAATAAAGAAATAGACCTTTTGAACGTTCAGAGAAGTTCCTCCTATCATAACTAAACCATAAATCCCAATTTTTAATTACAGTATTATAAAGTTCCACCAAAGAGAAAAGAGAAATCGAGCGACCAAGCTCCTCCTGCACTCCCACCTCCAAGACGGAGTACTAATCTGACAACTGAATACAAATTAGCAACAAATTCTGACGAGTCCAGGAAAAGACTCATCTTAAACCAGGTAATAAGGCGAATTTAATATTTTTCCATGTTTTGTTCTATCTAGATATAAACTTCGTAGTCTCTTGCTGGCTCTCAAAATGTTATTTATCAACAAAATCACAGTAATACCTGTATCAATGTGGTATAACCAAAGGCGTTATAACAATGCCGTTTCTTCTGGGCTGTCTCGACTTTGCCCCCCCCCCCCCCCCTCCCCCCTTAAAAATTTTACAAATTGACAAAAAATTAAATTCTATGTAATGATTGTTTCAATTTTCTTTTTAGAGTCAACAGCATGCTCAAGATTCCGGCATATATTCTACAAGTAACAGACATCGCTGAAAATAAAGCTAATTGATGATTTTGAACAGTTCTAAATAATTATGATTTTGGTGTGGAAATATGTGTTT